CCCTGCTTTGGAAAAAGGTGGTGACGGTAACGGTGGCAGTGAACCCTCTGGCACAGGGGGTGACACACACACACACACACATACACACACACACACACACACGCACACGCACACGCACACGCACGCGAGCGAGCGCGCTTTTCAACATTGGGCGTACTTGCACGATGAGCCACGTGGGCACAAGAGAAATTGGACACAATCGGACACACATACTTGAGATGCTTCAGTGTATGGATCCAAACCACTGGGCGGCAAGTTTGCCCAAGATTCAGCATGTCTAAGTTCCAATCCAAGCATTCTCAGTCACGCGCAAAATGGCCCCTCGTGTTTGCGTCTGGGTTACACAAAATATCCAACGTATAAGTATGCCAACTCGATACAAACTTTCTTCCAAGAACTCGATGGATGTACCCAAAGAATCTTCAGGGTTTAATATGTACATTGCATATCACTGCGGTTGGATTGACACATGTTCCGCTCGACAAATCTCACAGAATACAACACCATACAACCCTGAAAACCACACCATCTCACAGAGCCAAGCTGCTGCTTAAGCTTCAGGAATTTCTGATGGAAGAAACGGTAGAGGCCCCAGCAAACCGCTGCCAACACCGACAGGGCCATCATGACCACGAAAGTCATCACCTCGCAAACTTTCTGGGCTCTGCTTTTTCTTTGTTTAAAGCCTGCCCTTACTTAAATAAGTAGGCGTCTACTTAATTATATAAGTAAGGAGGCGAGTTCCAACCTGGCTCTTCATGCTCCACCAAGGTTCACCCTGCGCACTCTTTTTTTGGGAAGTGGATTGCCGCGAACTGGCACTCTCAAACATGCAAGGATATTGTAGGTGCTTGATAGCTGGCGGTATCTGAGTCAAAGGGACTGATGGCCCCAGAAGTTCCCCATAGTCTCTTTCTGAAAGCAAACATGTCATTAACATCAGTTTGCACACTCCCCGGCCAAGTTGCAATAACCATTGGCGCTTGCGCGTCTAAAAAATTCACGCTGATAGCACCTGAGAAGTGCTATGGATTATGATGATTGTCGTGAATTTCCATGTCTTCTATATCTAAATGCTAATGGATGTTTGTTTTAATATGTCCTCTAAAGTGTGTATATATATATGTATACACGTAATATATATATATATATAATATGAAAATGCTAATATGCTAATGGATGTCTGAATATGATATGATTGTGTTGCAAGCTGCGCTCTCTGATGGCATGTGCCGCACGAGCAAGCGCCCAGCTGCGCGCGCAACGCCGAGGTGCCCATCATCAGAATCACCATCATCCCACCCAGGAGCAAGTTATCAAGCCAATTGCAGATCCTGCCACTGCCAGGCTGTTTTTCCAAGACCAAAAGCCCAAAAAAAAAAATATATATCATATATATCTGTGGAAGAAACATGTGCCAGTACTGTATGTGCCAGCATGTGCCAACATGTGTCAACTATCCACAGTGACATGTGGTGACATTTGCAAGCACTTGCGTTGTGAGTGAGGGCGACATTGGATGACGTGTGCCAAGTGCAGCTTCTAGGTCATTTCTACCTGCGGAATGCCCTCACCATCCCCACTCAACTGGTACAGCACCCGACTTGATGGAGGCGCATCTTCAAAATCAATCTTTTTGTGGCCGGTGGATTTCTTCCTCGATTGAGGGCAATTAGGTTCTGGTGTGTGAGGATGTCCCGATATCCTGTGCCAGCTTTGCCGGCATGGACTTGCCACATGCATACATGACACTCATGGTGGTGGTTCCCTACGGGCAGCCAACCATTCCATTCAGTCGCAGGACATCGGGACAACGCGGCTGAGGCTCGGAAACCGCCAAGGCTTGAAGTAGGCCACCCAGGTCAAATTCGCATACAAAATGATGCCTGGAACGGCCGTCCAAAAACGCCGCACCATCGCCGAACTGCTTTGGACGGACCCTATCGCACCGGCACCGCGCCCGGCGAGCCTCGATGCAACGCGTTTTGAGCTGGTACCCCATCACCCTCCATCCCTATCCCTTGATTGTTGGCCAGGCGGTCTTGACCCTCTGAAAACAGATTTCTTATTCTTGATGCCAAAATGCACATCATCATCAGCTGTCCGGCTGTTGAGGTCACTAGAGGGCACATAACCACAAATGCATTTCCTGCCATCGAAGCCAGCCGATATTCCATATAATGGATCGCTCAACGAACATGATGGGAAGGAAACACATCAAGGTTTTAGTTTTGAACTCAAGGACTTGCAGCCGAACGGAGGGACACAAAACGCACTCTTTTCACCCTCTTCCAAGTTTGCTATGCGAAAGATTGCTGGATGTAAACTAAAGCACATTGTGAATACGTTGGTTTGAATACAGCAATGCAGCAAACAATAAATCGGAGTTTCGACTTGCCAACTCACCTGACAGCGTGAATCATCCCTGAAAATCACTGAATATCACTGAATAATTCAAGCGTCTCACCAGCACAACGACCGATGCCATTTCCATACCAGGTCGAAAGCGCTTGGTGAGAAAAGAGCAAGCATCCAAGAATCGAGTATCAGACGTGGCTGCAACAAAAGGAAAAACAATCGAGTTGAGTTCGAAGTGGGTTTGAATATATACGCTGATTTATTCTTCTTCGATCAATGTTGCACCAGGAGCCCGGAGCTTCCGCAAACAACATCACAAGCAGGGAGGAAAAACTACCAACATCAGGATTCACAAGAGTAGAACCGAAGGATAACACATAATCCATCATGGGCAGGGGAGGCGCCAAAGAACCAACACAACGTTTGAGCTGTTTTAGTGAGATGGAGAAATGTATATTGTAAATCTGCAGGGTCCATAGCCGCAGATCGAATGTTGAACTGAAATGGATTGCGAATCTCTGTTTCGAGGCCACGTAACGTTCAACTTCACTTGTTAACCGGGTCGGCATCATGGACGTCAGCGCGGTTATGTAACACCACTGGACTTGCCTTGAATTGTGTTGTTCAGTTTCACTGACCAACCCATCATACCAAAATTTCTTGGGTGTAACAGTGGATGATCATGGTTAGCATATAGTTAAAGATCTTTCTCTAAACTATAGTGATAAAATTTGGACCAACCGTCAACCGCCCGCGAACCAGGTATTCCTGGCACGAACCGCCCAAGAAGACTCCGCCGATCCCCAATTCCCGCTGACCGCACCGCTCCAATCCGTGGAGAGTCGCCTCGCCACGCGTCGGGGAAGTTCCATGACCACAATCCACACGCAAAGCGCCAAGAAGAAGAGAGGCATGCAGGAGGCCAAACCTCGGTGGCCATTTTCACACAACCATCAACCACCGAAGAGATGCATGCGAGACGGGCCATGCTGTTCCAGGCTCTCTGAGTACAACTTCCCGGCTCATGATGCAAAAATCCGAAGCTGAAATCCGAAGCCCAGGAGACGTCGCGGAAGATGTGCATCAGTTTTGATGTTCAAGACTTATTGCATCAATTTCCACGGGCCGTGGCAGGCCACATACGCAAAGAAAATGCAAAAATATATCATACACCCTGGTGCACTGATCTGTGTCTGACAATGCAGCACCCAATCTGTTCAAAAGCAGCCAATCTCATGCAAACTTTCGGGGCCTCTTGGCCACGCGCGCCGAAAAGATGCAGCGTCAAACATACATCGACCACATCTTGGCACAAAATCTGAGTTCCGTCACAACGAACGGGCCCGGGGGTTACTGGTTTTGAGCGTTTTGAGTGGCTGGATTGCTTGACACCACAAAGATTTGTCCCCGGAAGCGACAGTGTTCGCCTAGAAACCTCCCAGGATGAACATCTCCAAGTGCTCGCCCTCTCCATCACCTGGGCGAAAATGTCCGACCAAGAGGCGATGGGGGTGAGCAATGTGGCAAAAGATTGCCTATATAGCAATCAAGCCAGCCAATAGGCCTCCCTATGACACGCATTCTAGAGGAACTTGAAGTTCAGTTCAGTATCAATGACCATTTCAACTGAGGGCAGTTGGTCAGTGCAGCCTGATGCGCGTAGGGCGGCCCGGCTGCAATTCATCAGAACAAGGATACAAAAAATTAGGTTGCAGTATCTCCAGCAATGGCCACAGGGGTAGCAACCCCCCAAAAAAGATACACAACCTTCTGCTTGGAAGGTTGGGTCTGCCATCTGTTGGTTGTTTTGATATTCAGGTTGTTTGCCTAGCTTAGTTGGCTGGAGTCTGTCTTTCTTGACCCCTCCGAGCTTCGGGCTGGTGTGCGCGTGTGCGTGTAATAGAGTTGAGTGGTTAGCTGCCTTTGCTGGTTGTTATTTTGCTACAAAATTTGTAAACTATCGTTTCTGATCTCACTTGGTGATTTATCCCTGTCGCCTCTTTCGTTACTTTTGCAGTGGTCGCCTTGCTTGGTGGTCTTCTTGCAGCTGAAACATTGTCAAGTTTGTTTCGTTGTCTGAGATTCCTGCCTATGCGTGTACTTCTCTCTCGTCCCCGGGAAACAAACATTCATTGGCTATATTCTCCAATGGATGGAAGAACAGCCGAGAGCTAAAAAAAAGGTCTTAAGCAAAGCCAAGATCACAGAACACCGTCTTGTATCTCTTCATGGTTAGCATCCCATTGGGGTGCTCATTGCATTGGAAGGGTGCCAGAATCATTGACCAAAGAACGATGAAAAGGATTAGGAATATGCTTCCCATCGTCCTCCAGCTCAAAAAAACGCAAGCAAAGAACACGCCGGACTGTCAGGTGCGTGAGCATGGGTTCTCAGGAACTCTGCACACCCACCCATTCAAAAAAAAAGAAACAGTCCTGAGCAACTTGCCCAGCTTGAAGGTGGATGAGCGTGTACGAAGGAGGTAGCACAAATGCACTACGAGTGCAATGAACCTTGGATGAAATCAGAAAGATGTGCGGCGGCATTTATTTGGTACTAAACGCAAATACACTACTGTATCTATTATGTGGGGGCCCTATCTCGTTTAGACTACTTAAGTAGGAGGTCATGTCACAGTATCTCGTTCAGACTACTTTAGTAGCAAATCACACTACACTATCTCGTTCTCTGTCAGACTACTTGAACAACAAATCACAAAAGTATCTCGTTTATGCGGGGGCCCTATCTCGTTCACAAGCCAATACTGATGATAGACAAATAGAGCATGCCGTAGACTACTTCAGTAAAGCCATGTAAAGCCTGAATCAAATGGTTGCAAGGATGGGCCAGGTGCAGATCTAATTAGGACTCGTGGACTCGTCAAACTAGCTTAGAGTCTGTAGCTGTGATACATCGTGCTCCGTAAAACAGCCGGGTGGCATGAGCATAGGGATCATGAGGCATCGGAAGCCAAAGAGGGCCACGGAGTTCAGGCTTGCAACGCAATTCATTGAGAGCATATCGACATCGAAGCTGAGAACTTCCAAGAGGACCAAGACGCTGGCAAAAGGCTCCCTCCAATCCTTCGATCGATCCCAAAGGAAGGATCGAGGAGCCCCGAGGGGCATTGGTTTAACGCCGAGACGTTTTCGGTATGGACTCTCGTCGACAGACACTCGACTCCAATCTGTTTGACTCGAGTCGATTCACTTGAGTGAGATCAACCTTCTACCGAGGCTTGTCTTTCGTGCGCCCTCCGATGAAGGATATGACATGTATACAGTACATATATAGTCAGGTTGAAGAGGTCCACTTCACCTGGCCATACCGTCATACCATGTCATAGCCCTGCCCTGCCAACTTGGGACCTTGCATCAAACCTCGCCTGGCAGGTCCGTTGCTGTTCATCGGACCCCGGGAGAAGACCAGACGACTCGACCGAACACCAAGCGTCAATGTCGAAGCGACGGAGGACGGAGAGCATCTGCACAATGGTAATGAACTGCGTCAGGCTGGAGAAGACCACCAACAAGGAGCTCCCCTTCCTGGATTGTTCGGGAAGGAACCAAAGGGGGGTCTTTGGGAGGTCTAGCTATGTCAATGCACACCAAACCAGCCCGCGGCTCGCAATCTAGTTGGTTGGTAGTGAGTGAATTCTGATAGCACACCGTTGAAGCTATGGTTTTCACCTCCCTGGTTTCTGCGCGCTTCTGTTATACATACTGGCATACATACAGCATCATACAGTACATGCAGCAGTCACATTGTAGAAACGGCCAACGACTGGCGACAGAATGATGGAACGATGCTATGGCGGGACGATGCCTGTACCCCCATCTGGTAGATTTTTACCTTTGATGCCACCAGCATCCACCAGCTCATTGTTGGAGATGAAATCCTTACCCTGTGCAACTGATGCTAGTATTTCAGGCGTTTTTCATGCAGGTATAGGGGCCAAACTCGGGCATGCCCAACATCTCTAACAGCTGGGTAGCAGGATCGATTTTCAAGATGTTTCAAGAGAGAAAACACATTTGCTGGTGAAAGCCTTGTGCTCTTGGTCGGCAGCCTGTCCAGCCCATCTTTCCCCACTTGATCAACAAAGTCTCGAAGCAGTCTCATTCATGAGAGTTATGTGCAACGCCCCAACTCCACCTTGGCAAATGCCCGTTTCACCCTGTGGCCTACTGTGACATGGCTGTGGCGGTGATGGCTGTGGCATGTCCCCTTGGGGGCCCCACCCAGATCTCGGATGAAACAAACTTTGGCTATGGCTATGTCTCCATCATTCTCCAAACACCCTCGTACACCTTCGACTCGTTTTCTTGCCACAACGAACACTCACACACGGTCGGCCAATCACGTGCTAACCATTTTTCTAGGGTCCTATATATCCTATATCACCACCATTTCTGGCTTTATTTTGACTGCTAAAAGAGTATGTTGCTCACAAAATTCCCTTGATCACCCACTGTACGCAAGCAGTTTTATACAAACGTTGACATCCATCGCAGCTGGCCAGCCTCGGACGCAGCAGCTATCCTCATCCCTAGCGCCTAGCGCTGAGCCATGAAACCACTATTCCCGAATGGGCTCCATGAATCGAAGATGGGCCAAGGGGTGGATGCCAGGGGTGTCCCACCATGTGTGGATCCATGGGGCGTTCGGAGCCCTAGGTATTATATGTTCTTTCTCCCTGTGAGTCGCTCCGAAGCATCCAAATCCCAACAGGTCCCGCTCGATCGAACGCAGCGACCAGCCAAGACACACACAACCACAAGCACCACCACAGCGATAAAGGCATAGTCACTATTTCTACAAGGCTCGCAGGTCCTATCTCCAGTTTCCTGAAATCCGTCCTCCAGGCTCCACAAATGCCAGCAGCGCTCTCTCTCTCTCTCTCTCTCTGTGCAGGCTCTGAGAAGGCTAGGGGCAGGCTAAGACAGTTGTTTTCCATGCTTTTCTATAAACACAATTCACATATGAATGAATATATTTCAGCAGATCAGATCGCACTGTTGGCCCTGGTTGTTGCCAGTCGTCCTGGCAATGTGCACAGGCCACAGTTGAAGCATCCCGCCCCTGACTGCACGTTCCGGGAGGCCCGCCTGAAGGAGGCTGCAAGGAGGTTGGGGTGTGGGCAATGAGCACATGCTAGGGTCGAAAGTCATTGAATACTTAAGTCGGTTCAATCTCGAGAGTCCATAGTCTCTTACACATGGACCTGTTGTATCCATTTCGCCATCAATTTGTTGCATGCTCCTAGACGCGCCGATTCGGGCATGTCTGCTGAGCATGCTGAGCAGGGAATACAAATTCAATGTACAATGTTATACAATGTTAAAACCATGTGTACATGTGTGTGTGTGTGTATGTACGTAATACGTATAATATATAACATATTATATATATTATATAATTGATATACTTATATGTAGATACGTGGTGATTACCAGTTGCTGCTTGTCGGTTTTGGTATGTTTTGGTGCTACCTACAAAGAGGCCTGGACAAATTCGCTCATCAAAGCAATTGTAGACCTCACCAGGCGCCTCTGGCGTAGAAAAGAAGCCAGGCTTCCTGAAGTCGAACAGGTGCCCCTAGTGGACTCTAGCTGAGTCAAGCGGTTAGCCAAGGGAGCAGCGTAAGAGAACTGTTTCACGGTTGGCACCTACAAGTTCGGTGTAGCTCTGGGCTTTGGTGAAATCGGCCAAATCTGGTCTGCAAACGCTCGTTTTTCTCAGATCCCTGCAATTGCACAACTTGCTTCAATATATGGAGCGCAAACTCAAATAAACTCATCGCTTTTGAGAACCCCAAATATTCACCGAGCATTCACACAGCAAAGTGGCAAACCGGAAATCGGAAATCAAGAGCTTTCAAGTCAAATGGGGAGCCGCAGTCTATGCATGAAACAATCCTTCAACCAGTGATGGTTCACAACACGTAGTGACCATGTACAAGGCCATCATATATGCAATCAAGCAGAATAGGCGTGTGACAAAGGAAGACAAAGACAACGAACCCTGAGGAGATTCACATACAAGTAGCACCTTGTAGCTTCTGGACCACCAGAACCCAATGCAAGAAGGGTCCAGCCGTGCTCATTTAATTTTAACGGAAGAGTACACAAATATTGGATGCTCCAAATCTCACCATAACTTGGATTCTGCATGTGTGACTTTGTCAATGCGAAATCACCAGAATAAGCCACCCACCAACCCCCACTAGTCACTAGTCTCGTCACTAGTCTCGTCCACCCACCCCCAAGTGCACCGAACCAAGGAACTCGAACCGCTACACCGAACCGTTCGGAACTCATCACTTGTTGTAGGGGTCAACGGCTTTGAACAGCTTTGAGCAGTCATACCATGTCATACCTAGATCCATCATCCCAACAAAGAAGGTCCTTACACTGGTCCTTACTAAGCACATCTGCTTCGCTTCAAGGCGCAACTCCAAACGGTTCGACCCAGGGCAAATGGAGCCCTCCATGCACATCTGCCCGCGCCAAACCGGGCGAAGAACCGGAGACGAAAACCCGGGGGGGGATGAAGCACCGGTATCGAAAGGCTACGGTTTTGGTCGTCCCAGAACTGCCAGAGCTTGAAGCTGAAAACAATGACCAGATGAGGCGTGTACATATGATGGGACAAGTGTGGGAATGGGAATGGGGTGAAGGCACAAACTGTGTGATCTGTGTGATTGAATGCACAAACATAAGCACACAGGTGCTAGTAACTAGTATATTCCGCTGCAATGTGATAGGTTGCATGATGCAGCCCAAGAAACACACCTCCAGGTTGCGTGCGAGAAGGTTAGCCTTTGGTGGGCACGTACAACCCCTGACCCTGACCCGTGACACAAGCCCTACACTACCCCTTGTCCTCAACAAATATCAATTCAAAAACTGTAACTGACCTTGTTTGAGGGCCGACTGCGTGTCTGGCCCAACGGCATGGCCCTGATGACCAGCCTGTTTCGTCACCCAGATGGGTCTTCTACACACCCTACTACACTGTCATGCTTCCAGCTAAGGGCGTCGATACTAGGAACAAGGGCATCGCTATTAGTAGCTAGAAGCTACTAGTAGCGATGCACTTGTTACTAATTAGTAGCGATTCTGTTCCGTGGCACAAGGACAACCAACGACCCCATCGACCCCTCACACCTGGCAGCGGCCGTCCCACAAGAAGGTGCCAGCCCCACAGGCGCAGAAGGATTGCGACACGGCCCCAAGCAGCTGAATCACCACGACTCCTCCCCCTGAGATGATCTCCCGGCTTGTGGTCCACAAGTGCTCCTCTCCGCTGCCCATGCCGCACCTTAGGCAGCACCCAGCAGTACTTGAAGATGGAACCCCTATCACTTAACATAACTTATCAGAATCCAAAAGCTTTGCTCAAATATAACACTAGGAAGACGAGATAAGACGAGTGTACATAGAGGTTTTGCACAATGCTTAATCTCATTCAATACCAAAAAAAGATCTTACACACAAAGCACCACAAACACAGCATAAACCACACTATAAACACAAAGACTAACATAAACGGTATTGTGTGTTGATTGTGTTTGTCTTGTGCGCAGTTTACGCATGAATTGTGTATTGTTTGCGTTCCACTTGCGTTCTCATCTGCGATGACGTAAACTATTTTGGGTTTGATATGCGTTTTGTTTGCGTTTCACTTGCGTGTTCCTTCGTGCAAAAGTTATCGAAAGTTGACACGTGGCCACGTTTTGTGCTGATCGTACCTGATTGAATGTCCGTGAGTGCCAACAATAATTGCCCTTCGCAATGAAGAATGGGGTACAGTTGATTATATACATTAATGTATTAAATTAGATTCAATTGTGGCTCGTTGGTCAATATCGAGATGCGGGTGGCACCGACTCATCCCGGTGGTGTTGGCGTATTCTCCGAGGCCGCACTGTTCACAGTGAGTGGAGCCTTCGAGTGGAGCAATAGTGCCAAGCTCGCACAAAATACCTTGGTTTGACTGGAGCTGATATGCCAATTTGACTGGTTGAGTGGCTCTGGCCCATTTGGCAAGGCCTGAGTTGTTGAGATACCGTGTCATCTGAAAAGTCTCTCGGCCACTCAGCTGCAAAAATACACCTCTCACAAACCACCCAGCCCCTGCCCGCCACTCGATGAGTTCGATTGAATCAGAATGGATCAGCCGCCTCGTTAGCCCCTTGAAGGGGCGTGTCAAAAGATGATCACCATGGGTTAGATGCGTTGTCAAACCAATATCAATCCAGACCATCAAGAAATCAGTTGCTTCATGGAGATTTATGCAGATATTTCGAGGATCAGGTAATATGCATGATGTAGATCCTTCACACATCTTCACAGACCACCACCACCACCACAACAACAACAACAAACAATCCAAACTACTCAGTGCCCATCAACCTTTCCTATACAGTCTCACCATGACAAAGGAGTGCAATCATCCGCCTTCTTTCTGCTTTTCAACTCTGGTTTGGAAGGATTCTTCAGTTGAAGCGGACAAAGCCCATGAAAAACCACCTGTTTGTTAAGACCAGTTGCACTCCGAAGTTCCAAAGGTGCTTTGGTATGTGCCGGATGGGCATTTGGAACACACCCGTGTGCCACTGATCTCCATGGAAGCATGCCCTGCGGGACAAATGGCACAGTCCACAGCATCAGCTCGCGAAGTGACAAATTCTCCTTGCAAGTTGACAAGGCCCCTGCCGACCGAGCAGACTGTCTTGTCTGGCACCCATTCCTGCCAAAGAATCCGGTTGGCCCGGAGCCAAGTGCAAGCCGTCTGCCATGGCTCCTCGTCCGGCGTGACTGACTGCACCAGGATCAGCAGCAACTCGTTCATGATACCTTGGTGAGCACGGCATGTCTCACCGCCACATAATATGTAGGATGGAATGCAGAAAAAGGTGAAGAGTGAAGAGCTTCGTCAAATGTCAGCCCTTCAAAAGGAAGCTGCAATTGCTGCCATGTGAGCTTCTTGCATGCGCTCGTTGTCAGCTACTTTCACAATCTCACATAATTGACTATCTGCCGTTCATTGCTAAAACAGCGCCAAGGTAAAGCAAAGCTGCTGTCAGAAATGTGAAGATTCTGTGCCAAGCCGTACGCTCGATCTGCCACAACATCAAACCCCCTTGCGATGCCCATGTGAAGCTCTACGCGGTCCTCAGGCCATACGTGCAGGCAGGGCCGTCAGAACGACATTATTGAAAATCCATCCATCACAAACACTATATAATTTAGTACTAGTATATTTTTGTTTCACAAACGATATATACATGTTACCTAAATCAGAACAACGGTCAGGCCCGGACAATTTGCCAACAAAGGCCTATCCGTTCGCCTGTCCTACAAAAGGATACAAAAGGCCTATCCAATCCCATCATATCCTATCCACCTACATTCTTTCTTACTTCGAAGGCTAAAAACAACCGTTTTACCGATCCTCCATGATGATCTCACCCTTTTACCTTCACAACACATTCTCTCTTGCAGGTGAGTCTCAATCTGAGAGTTGTAGATTCCCTGATTGTATTCGGACAAGCTCCATGGAGGCATCTCAACAAGTGCTGGATTATATGCCACGAACGACGAATCGGGGTTCCACCAATACAAAAAACCTCCAAGCTTTTTATTTTCCTCCCTCCATTTCGCGTTGTCTGTTGCCACTGCAAAAGCCATGGGCATGTTGTGGGAGGAAATTTGCTGCGTCAATTCCCCGATGCCCCAGCCGTTGCCGCCAGTGATGAGTGACATGCAGTGAAACGGGTTGGCTCGGCAAGCGGGAGGTAGCCACCATTTGTTTTCCCAGCACTTGAATTTGGTCCTTGGCAGGCGCCCAAGGAAGAGCCCAACAGGCATTTAGAGGCTCCCAATCCAACCTTTCAGGATGGGAAACCATCCAACATAGTGAATTTGGAGGCAACAATTCAACACTTACCAAACACTTATTACATCTTATTGCTTATCGACTGGCACTGGGACAAGTCACGTGCCACCTTGCTGTACAACACCCTCAGCATCACCTGTTGCTTCCAAGTATTGCTGCGCGGCGAGGGGATCATTGGTCCATCCATCCTCAGAGTGCGGTCACCAGAGTGTGGTTAGTCTGGATAGAGTTGTTTTCAGTTCTTCGACGGCTCGATGATGGCATACACCTCAAACCATACAAACCACCCGCTGAAGCCAAATCTCGTAGACCCATCGGTGGAGCCTTGGAATCTCTATTTCACCTAACCTTGCAGCGGCCTTGCTGGCACGGAAGGTAGTCATTGCCTCGACGGTAAATCCAGACATGTTCGGAGGCCATCAATGATGATTTTTCGTGGCAGAACCGACCACAAGTGCGGTGCACGGACGCCGGGTGGGCGCTACACTTGGACAAAGCAAACGAAAGCAAACGGCCACACACGACAGAAACGAGAGCCTGGAACCCACTGAGCTTTCAAGTAGACTGACTTCCTAGCAACACCGCTCTAGGGCAATCTAGGGCACACAGGGTCGAAGGTTAGTGAAGTTCACTTCTGTCAGGTTGGCGGCATAGTTCTCCGGATGAAACCATGATGCATTGAGGTTGCCTGGGCTGCAAGCAGTGCAGGCGACTAAATAACAATTCACGTTCAAGTGCTTTTGATCACCTTCCCTCAAGGAAAGGGAAGAAAGTTGCGCGTGAACCGAATATGTGAGTTGCGCTTTCAATTTATGTGCTGAGTAGAAACGCAAACCTCTAACTCGTTCGAGTGGACAAATCATGAGAACTCTGGCACAAAAAATTGCAAAATCATCATCCCAGGTTGCCATAATAAGACAAATGAAGACCAGCATCATCTAGGGCCCTTTGACGTGCTTTGCCGAGAACGTACATGCCTTCCAGGCCCCAGTAGCCCATGCTTCCTGACATGCGCCGAAAGAATGGAAGCACCGCAAATTCATTCGCCCCGCACTTGGCACGGAAGATGTTACATTGGACATCAGTGGACATCTCTATGAGAATGATGCTGTCATTGCATACAGTCATGTATGACAGGATATGTCATGATAGTGACAGGATATGTCATGATAGTGATACATCTATGATAGTGACATGCTATACATTCAGGATCCACACATATTGATTGTCATTGTCAGTGCTCTCAACCCGAAGGCTGCTTAGTGAAGGCTTAGTGTATCCAGGCCATCAGGCTTTTGGTGCTAAGTGCGCGCTGGTCAGCTGCCACACTTGCACTTAAACACGGTGTATATTATTTCACGCCACGCGCGCGTGCAAACAACAAATTCGTCCATTTTGGGCCGTGCCTGAACACTAGTTTGGCAACTATTGGCAAATCAGCTCTGAAACCACGATCAATCTCAGTAACAGAACAAGAGCGGAGATCGTTTGCATTTGTTTGCGCACAATGTTTGGATGCCTGCTTAACCACACGACTATAAATCATCCAGTGACGATGCCATACCAATCGCTGAATCATGCTTTCAATCCACAATCGTTAGTCAACATTAGTCACTTAGTCTTGAGATCTGAGATGTGTATATACGTTTATACATACAATATACAAATCTAGTTACTCAAGACTAAGGTGTCTGCTCGGAGTTCAAGCTGGACCTCCCTCAGTACGCACATGCAACAAATGTGGAAAGAGAGCGGCGAGAGTGGCCGTTAATAAAGATGAACTGATGAGGAGCAATTGAGTTGATAACTTGGCGTGAATTGAACAAATAAATAGTCATAATGGATCTCATCGAAATTAAGTACCCAAAGCACAACATGTACAGCACTGTGTGCAAACTCCCTGAGATGCAGTTGGATGCAATGTAGAAAGACCGAGGTTCAAAACACTTGAGAAAACTCACGCAACTCCCTAAGTGTCAAGCTGTATTGCAACTCGATTAAGGCTTTAGGTCATGCTAATCTCACCAAGCATCCCAGGATCTCAGGATTGCGTTCTCCCAACAGCTTCAGTTTTTCAAGCATGCCTGCCGACTGAAGGCTGCTTCCCCAAAGTTCCATTCCCACGTGAGCGATTGGTGGAAAGCTGCAATTCTCAACGGCATCCGCCTCCTGTTGGAGCTGCAAACGTTGGCAAGCAGAACACAAACAATACTAAAAATGATAATCTATAAAGGCATCGTAGACCCTCAAACAGCTTTCTATGTTTCTAAGATTTTCTAAGTGGGTTGGTAGAACAAAAAAGGGGTCGACGACAATCTTGAGCCTCACCATTACAGTACACATTTTTCGCATGTTGTGTTGTGCTTACGTTATTGGAGTTGCCTCCAGCTTTCTAAAGGTCAAGTCACACTGTCTTTGCATCCAGCCAGAAGACGGAGAGTAGAAATCGTTCCTGGTGAAGGCAAAATCACAGTATTGTAACCAAGGATCTCGTTCACCAAAATGTCATAGACATCCCTCGCAACCTGAGAGCCATCGGATCACCAAATGCAACCGGCTTTCACCGTTACATGTGCAAAAAATACGTAACGCCCCTAACATTGAAAAATGGGTTAGCCATATCATAGGCATGTCATGCCTGTTGGCCAAAGAGGGAAAAAAGAACAGGAAACCAAAGAAACATAACCACACAATATTATTGATGTTCAAAGGGTTGGTGGGACTCCTTGTCCTTCACATACTTGGAAGTTTGCATTAGTCCTTTTTGGTTCAACGTGCAAAGGCAGTCCCATCAAGCCCCTTGATCTTTGCATACAGCTGAGGACGAGTACCGAATCCCAATTTCCTTAGATCAAGGAAGAAGACACGTGCCGCGGACCGCACCAATCGAGTCCCAAAACTTCATAAGTGGACGGCATGTTTACCCGCCTTGGGGTGGCTTCAGGGTCAAATGTAGGTGAGTCTCTCTTGTTGCCGGCGACAAGTAAGGGAGCTGTTTGCCCCCACAACAGGACATCGGACATCGCTGGACATCGTTCGTTGTAACCCTGCAGGGTCTGGCGACCTTTTACCTCCTATCCATGGAATGTTTGCTTCAACATGCTTCAACTCTCAGTTCGCACATGAATTCAAGGGCCAAGGCGGCCAAGGCTTTTATCCAAGTCTCCGGCTGCAACCCCGATGGGCATGGACTGCCCCATCATCGTGATGTTCCTGGCTCCACCAAGCGTCTACCGGTAGAGTTGTTCGTTCTAGCGGGGCCCCAACATGGGCATGTAGATGAAGATCGGCAACATCAAATTCAAAGGCATGCATGGGCTCTTCAAGAAAAAGGGGCTGTTGTTCATACAAGGTTATGGCGTAGTTAGTGACCCTGGTTTTTTTGTGGGTTTGCAAAGAATGGTTTTTGTTGAAGTTGTTCGGAAATGGAGGTTTTCTTGCGATTTCATCTTTGGAGTGCAAAGCGTTGTGTTCTTGAAATAGTGTATGATACAATGCTCCAGGTCTTCTTTTCATCCTTCCCAGTCAGATTCTTTGTTCAGTTTCTGGTTTCAGGTGGGGTGTTTTTTCATAGTCTCATAGCAGTTGTTTTATTTCCATGGTTGTTAAAAGTCACGTCTGACATACATGCAGTGGGCGGCTCCCATATCAAGCAAAACTGTTTTTTTCTCAGTGGCGCATCGCCTTGCGACAGAGCTCTCGCACTGCCGGCCAAGGATCTTTGGTTCCATTGTTGCGAAAATTCCGGGAATTCACATAGAACATGTGATCCAAACCAATGTCATCTTCACAGCGTGTGTGCATATGACATCATCTTCGAAGCATATCCACACCAACGTCATTAGCCCCCCCAACCTTCACCCCTTCAACGGAACATATCAAACATCAACCCACACGCATACCTGCATGCTAATGTCATCCAAGCCGGAGAGAAAAAACAGCAACTTCCTCGAAGGTCGCACAAGTTCGTGGCGCCTTGTTAATGCAGTGCTCTTCCACTGCTTGGGCTCGCTTGCCGGTAGCTTCCTTGACAGCCCGTTCCTTTCCTTTTCTTTGTGCACGGAGAATCTGACTATGTTCTTCTTTCAGAAATCTGCTGATTGATTCTTGTTGATCCTTCTTGTTGATGCTGATCACTGATCCAAGTGGGACCGATAGAGACGGTGTCGGTCGTTCCGTCCAACCGCTTCAAAACCGAACCATCAGGGTCTTCATCCTTTAAAAAGACCTCCAAATAAAAGGGCCTTCGGTCTTCCCTGGTCGAAACCCTCTCCCTTTATGAAACCCAACTCAAACCCCATCGATGGTGACAGCTGGCAATTGGCATCAGCAAGCAAAGCGAGATCCTAGGAATAATGAAAGGAGGTCAGTAAGGGAGCTAGCCGGTTGCAATGGAAAGGTCTACCTTATCAAGAAAACAAAAGCTTTGGGTGAATAGTGGTAATGGGATGTGTATAGTAGGGAAATGTTGAATGAATGAAATGTAGCAAGCTGAAAAAGGCTGAAGGAAGGCGAGAATGAAAGTGTATACGCGTCGCAAGCCGAAATATCACGTGAACTGCAAACTCCATCGCCTCACCGAGATCACAACAAACCGCGAACAGACTCCATCACTCCAGACGCACGCCAGAAGAGCAAATACCAAGTACCAAAACAGGTACAAAACAGGCAGATTCCTACCAGGAACCAAAGGCACTGCATGCACAGCTCCCTCGACCTGTACTGTGCATCTCAACCTGGACGCAGGTGTCAAAGGGGAGTTCAGCACTTTACAGCGACCCAGCCACCCAGCCAGCAATGCTGCACTGGATCGTCCCCACATAGCACCCATTGGGGTGCGCAGCAAGAAACAGCAAAAGCAAGTTACGGCAAACTTTTTAACGCAATCGCCGCAATGCCCTTTCCACCAGGGATATCTATACACTCCGCTGTGCTCACAGTCGACTGCCCACGGCTTCAGCAAATAGAAGAGAAAGAACAGATCGATGTAAATTGCGACTACTTAGTGGCCAGGAGTAAACCCCTGGAACCCAGGTTACACCTGATATACTGTACATTGTACTCACCCAAAAGTGACTACACTCAAACCATGCAGTGCCTTGCAGCAGGTTTCTCAGTTTGAGGTCTGTGGTTGATTCAATCGACATTCCGCTTGGCACCCAGCAGCTGTTGCCAAACCTCTTGTGTCGGCTCGGCTGGTCCTGTCAATTACATACCAGATCTGTTCCCACCATGCGATCAAGAGGCTGTCGCTGATCTTCAGGAACTGCATCGGGCAAGCAAACTCTGCCATTTGCAATAAAGAAAGCCGCCGAATAAATCAACAACCAAAGCATTCCTCGGCAACTGCGACACACTTTAAAAGCACACTGTGAACTAACACGTGCAAAACCTTCTTCTCGCACGCATGCGGGTGTTTAATCAAGTAACCCTGGTCCTAATAAAGCACATACTGGTGGAGTTCCTATGACAGAACATAATCATACGTAACCCCTTACCATTGTCATTATCAGTGTTAATCAGCAATTGCAACACACGCGGATGGAACACATATTCATTGTATCAAAGAAACTGGTAAACCGTCCTTGTTTGTGGAAGCAAACATGTGCTTGATAAAGCCTGGATTCTCATTGGCGTGCTCTCGCGCATGTCCATACTACAAGTCAGATCCTTTCTGAGCATAAACGCTAGTGGTGAGAACACGTGTAGCAAACATCAAACTCCATGCTACCCGACAAGTACTTCTTGCTTCCTCCCTTGGTTCTATACAAATCTCTCTCTCTCTCTCTCAAGACCTCTACTTCTCGGCAAATCTCTCTTTTCCTCCGGCAGCTGGTGAAAACCAGTCAACAACAAACTCTAAGCCAAAAGTGAAGATCGAAAAGCTTCGAAACTTTCATTCTAGGTCTTGACGGATTATGTGCCCACATGCGCCCGCTGTCGGCACTACAATTTCATTGCGCGATCTTCCGCTGTTTGCTTTCGTTCAATGGCTCGCAATCACATTTTGACCATGACTGGCTGACTGGCTCTTGAATTCCCTGGAATCGGCTATGAAAATTCTGGATTTGTCGATATTTTCCACTCTTGCGACTCGCAAGGGAACGTCCTCAACGTGGAGCGGAAGTCTTTTTGTTCTCCAAGGGCTGAGCATAACTTGTCAAAGGATGGGCACAAACACCTGCCAGGCTTTAAAAAGCTGGGCCAACAATAAGTTGAACATCAGCAAACCTGAACTCAAAGTAGAACATGGTCCCCTTCGTCTCAAATCGTTTGGAATCCAGAAAATTGGCAACACGGCAAAAATGCTCGTGGCATGTTCGTTTTGTCTTGGCCTATCTCTCTTCACCTCCCACACGTTCGGTGGAAACTGAGCAAGTACAAAATCATGCTTATATTATAGAAGAAAGTCATCAGATATAATTATAGAATATTATAGAAGAAAGTCATCAGTCTGGATCGTAAAATGATGTGTGGCTGCATGACACCAAAATTGCTTCTTCCATCCCCTTCCATAGTTCAGTTCTCATATATGTTCACATTTTGGGAGAGGCAAATAGTAACCTGACCACAGCCCCAGGCCGATTTCCATCCCGTCGGCCTGTGCCCGGCGGTGTAGGTCACACCCTGCATCTAAGAGGTCGCCAATGGCAAATGTTGTTTGACTCAATTAGAAGCAAACATGCTTCTGGTCAGCATTCAGATTCAAGGCATAGAAACGGCTGAGGATGTTTTAGACTTTTGGGCAAGATGCCTAACGACGGGTACGATTTCGAACCAGAAGACATTGGCGAGGCTTGTGTCTCACTTGAATTCCAACTTCTTTTTAACATACTCTTTGCAGCCAAGCTTCGGCTTGGCCCAGCTTGGTTGCATGTCAGAATTTCATGAAGGGCCTGCAGGCATATGCTGCAGTTCTCGTCGCATGGCTGTCTCTTGGCCATTGCCATCGATGAGAGACACTTCCAACCACCATGGCTGACAAGAAGCTTCAGTTAGGTCAGCCGCTCGCTTGAGAGACTGCATTGTGGACTTGTCGAGCTCTTCCCACACAATCGCCGCTAAGCTTTCAGGCGTCACACGGGTGTGAGGCACTTGCTGGCAATCCTCCTCTGGAAAGCTGAAAATGGTTTTGTCATTGTGTATCACTGACATTTGCCCATTGGCTGCGCGGATCTCTGGGCTACCACCAGCAGGTTTCGGCAGCATGATCTTGTGCATCAGCGTCCTGCATGCAACAGCTGTGGCCTCTTGCAGTGCAAAAGAGTCCACACCGACAGCAGCGCCAAGGCGAACCTTCACTGCAAAGCTGTCAGCAACAAGCCGAGGTCGTTGGCCATTTTGTGAGACTAGCCTAGTGCAACAGAATTTCATCGCCGGGCCCTTTGCAGTGACTTCCCAAAGCGCGCTCCCTAGCACCTCTTGTTTTCTAAGGAGTGGAGAAGTCGAGCCTGTCACTGCTGCTACATCCTCTGTTCTCTCCGGCTCTGGTGCAGCAACCTCTGGCAAGAAACATCTCACTGGAGGCGGACCTTCTGCAACGGCCGCTCGGATCTCGCAAGCCACGCACAGCTCCTGTCCGTCCCGTGATCTCAGCAGCGGGGCCAAGTCCTTCTCGCAGGATTTGTTCAGCATGCACCAGCCTTGTAGGAGCTTGGAGGCAATCATTTTCGGAATCTCGGCGGCGGCCATGGCTGACTCTCGACCCCGGGTCGCGCGGCCAGGGTCGGGTGTTTCGTTAGTACAATCCATGATCTTCCAGCACGAACAACGCCTGTCGTCACAACCAAGAGACGACGAAAAACGGCGCGCGAACAACGACGACTAGTGTGCAAACACATCCACTTCGGATCACTTCTTTGTCAGTTGGAAAACGTGCGATGCAAAGGTGATCACCACCGTCTCGGGCCCGAAGAAGCTGCAAAGCGGCGACACTGCGGGCCACTACGGGGAAGTTTTGTGCATGAGTGACAGCTGCTATATATTTTTATATATTAATGTAATGTGTATGTTTATTTGTGTGAATGCGAATGTGAAATCTGTAAAACATGTTTCAGAAACGGATCTTCGAATTGAGTTGTCATGAATTGTCGCTTCATCTGCCTTGCCTCTTAGCACAGGCATGTGCGTGAAAACACGCAGCCCTGACCACCACTGCTCTGTGCTTGGTCCAGGGTTCATTGTGGATTGCTATGGGCTACCATGGGTGGTATATACATAGTATATGCATAACAATATATATATATATTATATATACAATATATTCAAATTGATTATATGCACGCCCATGCGCGCCCAGTTTTTTTGTCTTTTTGGATCATTCTTGTGCCTCTTTCATGCGACCTTCCATCACAAACCCTGTCTGGCACTGAAACGGTGCTGAATACATCTGAATACAAGAGCTGTGTGGCACAAGACGGACAAGGGTGAAGCCAATGAGCCCAGTTGTTTGGGTGAAGTCCGACTCACGTTTTCCGAGGTTTTGCGTCCAACTTGATGGTGTGTCCAACTGCCGAACAAACCGGTTGAACAAACCGAACGCTTCGGCAGCGCGCAGGTGGGTTGGACCTCTATATGGAGGCCCGGATTCTCCGCGCACGAGCGTGCAGGTAGACCTGAGGGGACCTTTTCCTCCTAAGATCCTCAGGGAGCCCTCCGCTGTCGGAGCGCTGGGAGGCCTGCCGATGCGTCGATGCCGCGACGGAACGTGAACCGGCCTCTGGATCCAAGGAGCCAAGGAGCCAAAGAGCAGGATCCAAGGATAGTTTGCTTTGTCATGCTTTTTCTGCAATTTGAGCTGCTTTGTACTCCGGCCACGAGTTGTAGAATTGGTCAAAGGCACCAGTTCAACAGATTGCAACGAGATCCGAGCACAATTCGGTTGGGATCCTTGACCCCGCCTGAGACTTTGCCAAGATCTGAAGGCGCCATGTGATCATGTTGCTGTTGCTGCTTCCACTTGGGTATACTTATCACTTATAAATCACTTATATATAGTTATAAGTTATAATGTCTTCTTAGAATCGTATAGAATGAAGTCTTAGATAACTTAGATTCAGGAGACGTGCAATTGTTGCATGTTGTCAAACAACCCTCGTGGACGTCATGCATGACTGCAACATGAACATTATTATATATATATGTATATATAGGATTTGCAATATCAATCAACATCTATCATATTCCAGCCTCGCTTCAGTTTGTGCCACTCGGTTCAACCACTGTGGTTTCACCACCGAACTCGTTCTTTGGGGTAGCTGATGGTCGTTGCTCAAACGCTCACCTGAAACTCTCTCCGCTTGCAAAGCTGCCGTCGAAAGACGTGGAGCTTGCAGCTAGCTGCTTCCATTGATTGTTCATGATTGGGCTAGGGGCTCTCTCCCTCTCTCCCTCTCTATGTCTATTACTCATTTTGAAACTGTGTCGATGCTGCTGCTCCCCTAGTGCCTAAAGCGCCGGCGTGACACGTGACAAAGCTGCAACACCTCGTTTTTCTTGTGCTCATCCCGGAACTGTGGCAAACACATGAATGTGGCAAACACATGAACAATCATGAAGATATGAAGAGTGATAAGGTCTCATTCCGCCAGTGAAGGCAGCAAAAAAATCGAGTTAGCTAAGTGACAATGACATTGCCACCAAACGGCGCATCATTTTTGCGTTCATTGTGCATCTTCTCGTCGGCTAGCTTCGCTGGGAAAAACGCTTCATGCACAACAGGTCAATCAGAATTCTGTCTCAATTAGTGAACAGTTTCTGACATGACCTGAAGCTGCATCAGATTTGCTGAATAAAGCGCTATTGGCAAAGCAACGCAACATTTGGAATGCCGGCTTTCTGTAGCACTTGAGCTTTGAGTGACAGCATGCTCCTACATTTTGTCGCTTCCACATTCTTGCCCAATTCTTGCCCATCAGCGACATATCATTGGCAATTATATAATTGAAGTGAGGAATTCTGGACTGGAGTACTGAGTACTGTGTACTGTGGTGCTCACATGTGGTAACACTGCTTTTTCGCCACTGGCCGGGGCCGTGGTGGACCCCCTGCGCCATGGCACCCATCGCCATCCATCACGAGGCTTTTGGGAGTGGCAACCACGGGAGACCATGATGAGTATTGTTTGTACAGAAAGCTGCCGGAAGATAGAATACATTAGAATACTATGTTGATCTTTTTGCGGCGTCGCAATCATCAACCGTCTGATCGAACGAACTGTTAGCAGGTTGTAGTAGACCTTTATGATCTTCTATAGAATCTATGATTCAAGGACGTAATTCTTGGGAGATTTGGCGGCGAGTTGGCAGCAAAGCGCAAGGGCTGCAAAAAGCACTGCAAAAAGAAGTTTCAACCTCCAGTTGCACCCTGGACCTGAGACCACTCTGTGCAACAAAACTATGGCTCCAAAACAATGACGACTTCATACGACTACATGGCAAATGTGAAAGTGTATTCGAGCATATTCTTGCATCACAAATTAGTGGAACTTTGGAGGATGGACTTGAGCATTTGCAGTTCAGCACAAGGCAATGCCTTTGGCACTGCCAAAACAAGCGAACCTCCAGTTAGTTGCACCCTGGACCTGAGACCACTCCGTGCAACAAAACAGCGCCTCCGAAAGAATTGCGAGTACATACAATCCCTACTGCTAAATGGCAAATGTGAAAATGTATTCGAGCATACCAGCAGTCACAAAGGGGTGCTTAATGGAGGTTAGGGGTGCCCATTATCCACTCACTTGAGGACTAAACACCACCCCTTTGTGACTCCTGCTATTCTTGCAATTCCACAAGGGCTTCGTGGAACTCTGGAGGATCGACTTGGACATTAGCAGCTGTCCACGCGATGGCCGGCTGGCAATTGCACAGACAGGGAGTGAGGTGAGACTGGGAACGCAGAATTGAAAAAGCACAAGTGAAGTCAGGGCCTGTCAGTCCATGTTGAAATGATACAGGTTTGGTCTCAACTTCAGAGAGAGCACTTGAGAAAGAACAGCGCCGGACCGTCAGCGCTCCGAGCCTCAAAATGTCAGTTGCACCAAAGGTGGTTCAGGCTCATGAAACTCGCTTTCGGGCGAGATCGTGGAGGCATCCTGCGGCGCCACGTCCCCCCCCAAAAAAGAAAGCCGCGGATCCAGAGGCTGACGTGCGATATCTCAATACGAGTGACCCCCCCCATACAATCAATCGAAAAAGGAGGATGACAAAGGGCATCCCCATGTGTTTCTATATCTATTTTGGGGGACCTCTGTCATTGCTAAGGCGAACGTTCAATCTGGGAGTGAGATGCAGCGCAAGAATCATGAGGTCGACGTGTGTGAACCGCACACGGTCAAGTCAATGACTCACACCTTTTCAGTCAAAAAGAGGAAAAGAATGGTGTCTTAGCAGAGGTCCCACCGCGGCCGTACCGTCTGCATGGGTCGGAGCCTGAGCATGGGTCGGGGATTGTCGATCTGAGCCAATGCGAAGCCGTCACAAGCTACTCAAGGACCGTTTCGGAACCGAAAGTGCAATGGATCCGGTAGCCACGATAGCTACCTGAACACAACAAAAAGCCGCATCATGCACATCTCTCTTCTTACCCGTGATTTGCCCTGGAACGAGAGTTGTTTCAAAAGTGCGACATCAGAATACCAAATTGTATAAATTATGGATCATTCTGGTATCTGTCCAAGCCCCATGCCATCTTGCTCTTTTTGCTGTGTGCTGTTTCTTGGTCCTGCGTATTTGATATGGCAGCCAGATCATCATCGGTCACCGCTTCTTCTTTTAACGGCCTTCGGTTGTCGCACAGAACCCGACACAAACGAACGTGGACGCAGGTTGTTGCGCCTCACATGGAGGCGTTTGCTTCACAATTTTTCGGCCCGCCTGAGGCTCAGCTGCTTCGCCAGCTTCTGCGCCTTTTCTCCTAGAGGTTGAAGAGTGGCTGTAAGCCTCAAGGCCGCCTGGCTCGCACGGAGCTCCAGATCATCCTGCGTCGAGGAGTAGCTTTGTGGAACGAAGACGACGGCAATCTCCTGGAAGAGGGCTTTGATCACCTGACATTGCATGAACACTCTGAGGGACAGCAATCTGGCTGTCCGGTTCCCTTCACACCAGCCGCACCAGTCTTGAAGGGGTCTTCGGTGAAAGTGATTTCAATTCACGGTGAAAGTGGACATTTGCCAAAACCATCCAAAACCTACACATGTACGTGGAATGGGGCGAGCCTTTCGACATGGAATGGCGGATGCGGCTGAATGACTTGAAACCTCAGCTCACCACCTGTGTCAGCTAGTTCACTTCTCAACCAAACTCATCATACCTCAATGTCGTCATATGTCGTCGGGACTTGCCAAAGATCCCAAATCCTGATGCCCAATGCAAAGCTGTTCTTCAAACCATGGGGTTTGCTAGCTTTCCTAGTCTGTAGCGTGCCCCTCTAATTATCTTGGTCCAGTGCTGGTAGCGCAGCTCGAGCAGGTTCCATTCTGCATGCTGCTTCGTGACAGTCACATACAGCTGCAGCCTAGGCCGCTCATAAAAATGAGCAGGTCGATGGCCGCTCACGAAATCAGCAGGTCGCAATCATTGCCAAATTTGACCATTTGAATTGCTTGGTGTGACGTACGCCTTAAGCCTTGAGCAATACCCTATTTGCGTTCGTACAGTGGGGAATCACCACATAAAGCACCAGCAAGACTACACGGTAAATCCAGCAAGCAACTGCTGCTCATCCAGCACTGATTTGCTGGCAAGCTCGGTAAAGAAGGCATCTGAAGGCATCATAAAGGCATCCTCTGCAATGACCGGAATCCTTGGTGCCAAAGACCCTGAGATACCCTGAGCGTGTGAGTCAGGTTCTTCCACAGTCATGTTAGGAGGCAACTGTTGCCTCCTCGGTTTGAGGTCCATCGGCAAGTCCCACGGCGGATGTCGCATTTGCCTACAACTCTCTATATAGTCGCATCTATTATGTATTGCAGCCACCCAAGACCTACCAACAGCAGGTGGCACACACAGCGGGTGGGTATATAGTACATAGTCAAGAAAATGCTCAACTCAAATCTAGACTTCCGAAATGCAGCCAAAATCTCGACGATGTCCCTTCTCTGATGTTCATGGCCATTGAAGCAATTATAAAAGTCATGCTGAAACAAGGTTGCACATTGCCTTAAATAGGCAATCTCTTATATAAACATCGCACTCCCCTGTATCTATGTGGGATGACTGGCGTGATTCAGCCAAGCAGTGCGAACCAAACAGGACAACAATCGAAGCCTGGATAGGACCAGTACAGTGGTTTCAGAGTGATGGCACTGGCACCCCAAGATGTCTTTTAGATGGGGGCCTATATACACCTTTTGGGGTTTGTTTTTTCTTAAAACCACTGTACATGTCCCGCCTTTCAGAATGTGCAGGTCAGCTTCATACAGCACCCTGGGCAGCTGCAGGCCTGCAGGAGCCTTACTGTACGAACGGCCGTGGCCTCAATTCGGTACATGTCGCGCCCACAGCGCTACAAAATAGGAGCCAGTTTCACAAAGATGTGGAACATGGCCTTGGAATCAGTGTAACAACATTCTTGAATGGTGGCACCTTGATACACAATCCGCTAGCTAATCTTTCGTGGCTGCTGCGGTGTGTTGGTGGGGCTGCTTGGGGAGCTGCCAAAGCAACGCCTAAAGCCTAAAGCATACTAATATGTTTAAACAAAAATTAACTATATATAATATAATATAGGCTATAACTATAATATAATATAGGCTAAGAAGTAAATTCGTGTTCAGTTCGGTGGTGGTGGGAAGTCCCCCATCGCAAGCTTGTCAGAACCATTCTGGTGAAAACTTGGGCATGTGCAGTGCTGGTAGAATGGTGCTTTCGCAACATGGCCATTGCAAACCATTGCCGACCCCAGAGGTAGTGGCTATATCGTCGGTTGGCGGCGGACTTTTGTAGCTTAGCCACCATGTCTGTATGTGCTCCGATTTGAAGCAGTCCTTGCTGCAAATCACCAACGATCGCCTGGCATTCTCGGAGACCTGGCCGTTCTCAAAGAAACAGCTACCCGGTACCCTCCAAGCATCGTGGAAAGAGGACAACGGCCTGTTAAGCAAAGGAAGAGAGTCTTCCTTTCGGGGCCATGTTCCACGTAACCATGTTTGGATGGAGGGTAGCACGCACTCGTGGGGCGACATCGTCCCCCGTCTCGCCAATCACGACTTCTTCGTGCCTGTTCGCCTAAGGGTAGCACGGCAGGAAGTGGGAGGTCCGTGCCCAAAAGCCGTGGCTTCAGCCTCGCGATCGAGCAGATTGGAGCGGATTCAGAACGCGGATTTCGGCCCTGGAAGAGACCCACACGGAACCCGACAAACCACTGGGTTGTAGAGGAAAAATCATCTTCCAAAGGTCCATGCCATCAGGTTCCATATGAATCTTCGTGGTTGTAAGCTCCTTGCTATTCCCTTCATCTCTCCCTCTTCTCCCTCTCGCAGTCTCTTTCTCTCTCTTTCTCTCTCTCTCGTTCTCGTTCTCTCTCGGTCAAGTTGCAAGGTCGCAAGGACCATACCAGTGGCCACAGATTCAGTATCAAATGGATCAGCTAGAATAGGGAAGCCAGTATCCACTTGACCTCCAAACAAGGACTTCCCCCGTGTCCTCAGTTTGGAGAAGAACATTGGGAGTTATTGGCCACAACTATCGACAACTGCTGATGAAACTTGCGACGGCAATCGGGAGTGCCCAAGAAAGCACCGTCGGGAGAGCTGACACGGTGCTGTGTTTCAAGAGGGCCAAGAAAACTTTGAAAAAGATGAGGGGAGCAAAGCATCCTTGGAGATGCTCTGTGACGCTTCGTCAGGGTGCCCAAGTATTGTTTCTGCGGTGACACACCTGGCCGTTGGTGAGCTGCGGGTTTTCTTTTGCAATCATCTGTGATCTAGAGTGGTTTCTTGTAATCTGCGGTGTGCGATTTGAGGATGCAGGGTGGTCTGCGGTGATTTGGGAGGATCTGTACTTGATGCTTCAGGTGATCTCTTCATCAGTTCTCCCAATGCCACTACCTCGAATGTCTCTGATAGCCGGAATGACCCAAGTTACGGGGTCGAGATCACATGAGATAAGGATCAAAGTGGATGGGGACTGGGCAGTTTAAGTCCTGTGCCGTGTTTCAAACACGTTAGCACCAAAACTCTTGGGTGACTAAAGCTAATAACAGGATCAGAAAGGACTTATGGCATACATGCACGCCTAAGTCACTCAGTTCAAGAGCATTCTTGAATTGGCTTGCAAGAGCAATCTGGTGATGCGTTGCATTATCGCGTTCTTTTTTGCTTGCGGGCACAAAGCGGATAACAAAGATGACTTTGGAATATATGAATTTTTGAGTGTGAAATCCCATGTCATCTGCAAAAATAGTCTGGATCCAGATTTTAAAATAAGCTCCAAAACAACAATGCTGCAGATTCTTGCATGCATACTCTGCAAATTGAAAGCAAGCAACTGAACGCAAAATGAACACAAATGAAACAACATAAATGACAATCCAAATCGACCAACTTCCAAAACCCTTATGAAATATTCACTTCAACAGCCTTGCATAGGGTGCTCCTTACAAGTGCCAAGGATCCACAATACAGGGGAGGTCCACAATTATACATTATAAGGCCCCTGGCTTGCTTTGGAGTGCGTTCCTTTAAACATTCTTGTAAATGGAAATGGAAGCAGAATGAAAGCAAATGAATTGAAAGCAGGATGATGGCAAAAGAAAGCAGACATGAACTCCAAAGGAGACTATTATTGCTCCCCTAAAAACCGGACAAAAAAAAGACATGGCGAGGTTACCCCCCCTCATTTTGACGAATCTCACATTATGCATCCTTGCTGAGCTACTACCTGAAGTTACCTGTACTGTATAGCAATTGCCTGTAGCAAATGGCACTAAAGTCACCCAAATCTCTAGGTGCAGGGGCTGCACACGTGAAGCCTTTCCAAATGTCTTTTTTCGCCCAACACCAACGACCACACGGCCAAACCCAACCCGAACACGTCCCGAAAACCGGAATCCCACATGCCAAGGATCCGCCCACTGACCGGTTCCTTTTTCTTCGGTGTGCTTTCTGCGATCAAGTCTGAGAGGACAAAGTTCACGGTCATGGTCGAAAGCTGTTCCGGCATGGCCACGTGGTTCTGGGCACAAAGCCACTTAAAAGTCTCCTCGACATCTGAGATGCTAATGTTATACCTGGACGAGCACCACTGGAGGACGTTGCCTATTTCTGAAGGATGTGGCATTTCTACAGGATTGCTTAATTGAATTGCTTGTGGTTCTTTGCATTATCCAGTGTGCCTTGTGGGGACACACTCGTTGGGTGAATCAGGTGTCATCAAGTCATCAAATGCCCCTTTTGCATGTTTGGTGACACATGCAGCAACGAAAAACTGGGATGGTGTTTTCAGATGGCGTCAGCAAGATCATCCGCCTGTCCTTCTCTGCAAGAATTGGCAAGATTTACAATGGTTTACACATGTTAACCACGCCCAAGGACTTGGTGAGCTCCACGATGTCGAGAACCACCCTCACATAATTCTCAATGAAGGTCTCCTCAGTGAGCAGGGCGTAACTGGCCCATTTATAACTACGCACGTGCAAACCACGAAAACAGCACTGAGGAATGAGAATTGCATATAGAAGCGCGACCATGTTCCGTCTGTAATATGAACCAACCACTTTGTATGGAACCATGTTCCATCGCCATGGCATTTCATGTTCCATAGCCTTGGCCCCAAAAGATCTCCACCATTGGCCTCCAAGCAACGTCCGGCAAGGTGAAGTCAGGCCATGTGAGCAGCAGGGTCGAGACTCGATTGGCCCGAGCAGTCACCATCTCACCCACGCACCACTTTCGGGTCAGGATGGCCGGACTGCAAAGCACCAAGAAGGTTTCCGTGTCCTGGCGCACCAACTCACCGCGACCTCGGGACCTCCGTTTCTGTGTCTGCGTCGGGAAGCGTGGTGTACGCCGGGTCACCGGTCGGGTTTCCACCCGGCGGTTGGAACGGCTTTTCTGCGGGGAGAAGCACCGGAGGGGGAAAAAACACCCGTTGCGATGGGAATCCTCAAGGCTTCAAGGCCTGGCTGCCTCGCCCCCAGTTTCGTCATCGCCGAACCGGCCCACGGCTCGCCTGGCCCACATAGCTGAAGAGTCGCGTGAGATCATTGAGGTCATCACAGTCAATGAATGTCTTAGTCCGTGGCCTGGGAAACGGTGTGAGCTGAGATGAGCTGGGCACAACAAATACAGCTAAGTATGCATCAGTAGGGATGAGCTCATCCCTCAAATACTTCAAGTGCATCAGTAGGGATGAGCCGGATGAGCTGTGTAACAAGTGCATCCCTACGTTCGTAGCTTCTTGTTTCTAGTATATAGCGATGGCATCCAACCTACTAGCGATGGCCTCCACCCCAGTAGCGATGCCATGCAGCCATGCACATCAGTCACATCAGTCAGTCTAGATATGTCTGGGCGGTCCCTCGCCTTGTCTTTCTGGAAAAACCAACGCAGAATTGCACTCTCTGCTGTTCCACTGGAGGGGAACACTGGGGAGAAGTGGAGGAGGTGGTCCCGGAAAGATTGGATAGCATAACAGTTTAAATATCAACTAAAGTGTTTCCCTCAAGAATTAAACCTGGTTGACTATGGTGACAAGATGACAAGAGGCAAGCGAGCTTCAAGTTCCATCTTGAGAAGCCTGAGAGACGGGTCACCCAACGGCTGACCAGTTGGTTCTTGCTGCTTGGCACAGGAGCTTCCGATGCGCATCGTGCGCCGGTCATGTGCAGGCCATCAACCCAAAATTGTGGCATAAGGACGGGATCAAGAACAAATGTATCATGGACTGAGTACGCAGGTCATAATATTGGGTGAAGCGACTAACCAACATATGGCCTGCAGAATCAAATCTCTTCAACTCTGTTGAAGTATGTTGCAGTCGTAATTGATGGCCCCTCAATTCCAAGGTTGCGGGTCACCGCCGCGAGTGCTTCAAGCGACAGTGCATAGAAACCTAGCTTGAGTTGAGCCCTGATTTTTCCATCTCACAAGTCCAGTGTAGGTAGCCGTTTTAGAGTCTTCACCCACAACCTATCAACCTCCCACGTCCACCGGGACGTCCGGTGGCACCGTTTAATCCGTTTCACCCCCTGCGCTTTTTCTGGGACAAGGAACCGCGCCATGGATCCCGCGGCATTCTTCTGGTGGCAAGTGAAGAATCTAAACCTGCAAGTGAAACAGGACGCTGAACTGGTGCGAAACTTATGCTGCTACAGAGCATTGAAGAGTCATGGCCCCATGATCAGCACCAAATGCGAATCGTGCAGGCGTGCTTTGACTCGCTTTAGCAGAACCCAAAAAATAGCTTAGATTTAAAAAGCGAGTATTGCCACACGCCACAAAAAGCAACAGGTCAGAACTTAAACACTTATCAAATCGCGTCCACCAATCTCAGAACTAGGATCTCAAAAGCGAGCTGCATTGGGAGGCTCGCTTTGGCAGGGGGGTCGCATCGACAACTAGAGACTTGCGCAAGTCTCGGGGGTCACACCAATGGTCATAACATCACACCTTACATCCGTGCACAACCAGTAACCAACACATACAGAGTTCTGTATGATAGTCTAGGATGGCCATTTCTCTGTGATCTAAGGCTTGCCATCGATGACAGGTCTGATAAGTTGAGAGTCGTGTGTGTGGGGGGGGTGGGGGTGAGTGGGGGGGGATCTAATGGAGTGATTAGCCCATGGCCACATCATCACATCATTACGGAAGCCTTACAAACATCAGCCAAAAATAATTGTTTTTATCTATGTGTCACCGGTCCCTTACTCAAAATGAAGAGGTGGGGAAGTTACAGCGCTGCTCATGTGTAGCCAAACTATATATAGATTCTGCATGTTGCGCTCACCTAAAGCCCGACGCACAAGCGACCCCAAACCCCGACGCACAAGCGACCCCAAAACCCGACGCACAAGCGACCCCCCGCCCGCTCTTGCTGGGGCCCAAGGAAGGGATCTCATGTTTTTTTCTTCGCTTGTGTATTGTGAATCCTCAAAGCAATCATTCACTCCCTGAAATAGTCATGGAAGTGGACAAACAGGTGGTGCCATCCACTTCCAAGATGATTTCGAGCCGAGTTTTTCCACACCAGGCCACTGCTTCTTGAATTTCTGTTGGAAGTATCGGTAGAGTCCGCTGCCGACCGCTGCCAACACAGCTAAGGCCATGAAGACGATAAAAGTCATCACCTCACAGGCAAGTACACAGTCGCCGACACGCTTTGGGGAGGGAAGTGAGATGAGATACGGGTGGTATTTTGATAGGTATAGACCCATCACTAGTGGGTTTTTGTCTACATGGTGTTCGTCTTCAAGGTGATCTATGGGGGGGTCTCCCTAGTCCAATATTAATATACACCCTCTTTAACACACCCATATAGCATGCAAAACGTTTGGGTGAACATCACGGTTTTGCTGGCTGGACAGCAGCACAAACCAATGGGCAGGACAAAACGGGTCATCGATCTGGATTCAGCAAGAAGGTTGGTAGTCACTATGGGTGGGATGTGCATGAACTAGTTGCGCAAACCGGACAAATCAACAGGTTGTGGATGGTTGTGGATGGTAGTCAACTTCGAGAAAATCTCGAGCACCTTCTCATGCTTTGACCTACCTAGATCTACCTAGCGCATCATCAAGTCCAATTTTAAGCTCATCAAGTTCACTAGCTCATTTTACGTGAAGATCTCTCATCCAGCTCTGGAGCTCTCATGGGCCCGATTCATCAGCTGCAAACAGCTGCAGCTCAGGTCGCCTATGGTAGCCTAGTTGAAATCCAAAGTCTATGTAGATCTATGCGCCAGCAGTCACAAAGGGGTGCTATCCATGGAGGTTTGGGGTGCCCAGCTACTCCACTCACTGGATGGGTTGGACTCAAAACCACCCCAAAATGTGACTCCTGGTCTTCGAATTTCTTCGTTCCGACCTTCGTTCCGACCTGAACCGCCGGACTCGTGTCGCCGGTCAGGCCCAGTGGCGACGAACATGCTTGCTTCCGGATGTGAATTGTCCACCGTGATGGAGCCTGGCACCGGTAAGCCATCGCTAGTAACGCTAGTAGGTTGGAGGCCATCGCTAGTAGGTTGAAGGGATGGTTTCAGGGGTCAATGTAAGCATACACTGCAGACATGGAGCGTCTGGGAATGAGACCACTTCTTTGCTGTAAGCCGTTGAAAATTCACCGATCGAGGATGTGACTCAATCGAGGGATGGAGCTCGGATGGGTGATGGTCAGTCTCTTGGTCCATGGGGTTCAAGATGCCCTGAAGTTCCGAAGGCTCGCGAAGGGTGATTTCTCAACGCAATGATTCACGGCCATACACCCTCCCCGCGCCCATCTGAAGAATCACCAGCATTCCACCAAGGAGTGCCACGTCAAGCAAATTGCATATCCTCCGTTTGCATGGCGTGGGGTTCCCCACCCCCGCGACCGCTTTCGGAGGTCGGTGGAGTCGGTCCAGTGCGTGACGAAGGTGGAGTCGGTTTTTGGTATATTTTGGCGGTTTTCTTTCCAGCACCACAGCCCAAAACCGATGGGATCGGCATTAGTTACTTGATGTTACTTATATGTCATAAATACATGCTTTGAATGTATGCAACGATTCAGGTTCCATGCATGGATACTCTGGGCATGGCTGGTTCTAGATCTTAACAACTACGGTCTTCCAAGCCGCGGGGCCACAGAAAACTGGGAACAAAAAAACGCATGTCTAGGAAACACCGAATTAAGGCGAGCCTGATGCATCTGCGGTGCGCCGCTTGGCAGCTAACAACTACGGACGCCGGACTTGGACCAAGGGTCGGGAAGCGCCAAGGCTTGAAATAGGCCACCCAGGCCAAGTTCAGGTACAAGATCACGCCTTGGCAGTAGCATCCCGGTCTGTCTGTTGCTTCGAGTCGGTGATTCCTTTTTGGGGGGGCCGAACGAAGACAGTCTGGCTAAGCGGGGCGTGGCAGCGGCCGGGCGGCCCGTTGGCTGGCATATGCTGGATATATATATATATACTGGGTGTTGATCAAGTTTCCTTCATCCAGAGTCCGTCATTCTTAGCAAATAAAACACCTACTTTGGCAAAGTTGTTGCCTTCCTGCGCGAGGCATGTCGTATTTATGTTTGCCATGTATGTTACATGACGGATATCCTTTTTCTTGTCTATGGCTTCTTCTGTAATGGCAGATGCGAAATAAAAACTTCAGTGTTTGTCAGCATGTGCCTTCTTCTTAACAGTTGCCACCCTGCACGTCTCTTTGCAAGAACCAAAAATTGCAAGAATCACTATGGTAGCGGGTCGCTCAGACTTACTCACAATGGGCTAGGGGTCAGATGTGGCAGGGTGAACTTTCCCCGATCCTGAGCTGAATGTCGCAAAACTTTCGCCTTCTGCGGGGTAGAGCTTTGTGGCAGAGCCGCCCTCAAAGCAGCAGCACGAGTAGTAGTAGAAGTAGCAGCAGGAGGAGTAGCAGCAGCAGTAGCAGCAGTAGCAGTAGTAGCAGAAGCAGCAGCAGCAGTAGTAGCAGCAGCAGGAGGAGTAGTAGCAATAGCAGTAGCAGCAGCAACATCGTCGTCGTAGTAGTAGTAGTAGAAGTAGTAGTAGTAGAAGTAGTAGTAGTAGTAGTGGCAGTAGCAGTAGCAGTAGCAGCAGCAGCAGGAGTAGTAGTAGTCGTCGTCGTAGTAGTAGCAGCAGGTGGAGTAGCAGCAGCAGCAGCAGCAGCAGAAAGAACACCTTTAGCAATATCTTTCGCCAAAAAGACGTTTTACTTTTGCCAACTCAAAAAACTTTTGCCAAATGAGCTTCTGACATGTTCCAGGGTCATCGTCATCAACGATCCCTATTAGGACCTTTAGATCGACAACCATATATATATATATATTTATCCTGGAGATGACATTCACTATCAGTCACTCAAAGGTGCGCACTTATACAGTTGCTGTCAAGTTTTGGTCAAACATTTGACAAAGGACCTGCGTTTTTCGTTTGGCCCGACGCATTGCAAAATTTGCAAAGCGACTACTGTAGCCTGTGCATAAACTCCACACGAACACTGCCAGCCCGAACGAACCGAGCACCAGCATTTGACACCGAAAAGCCCATCAGCATCAGCTGCCCAGCTGTTGTCGTCACGAGAGGGCACATCACCACCAATGCATTTCCTGCAGTGCAAAGGCAAAGCCGGAGATACTCAGTGGGCACATTGCAGTGGGATGAGTGAAGTGGGCACATTGCAGTGGGATGAGTGAAAATATTTGAAACCCAGTGGGGTACAGGCTGTCCATGCAAGAAAACTCGTGACATTGGGAAAGGGTTCTGTCGACCCTGGGGCTAGAAGTCGACATCTGGTTATCCTACCCATGCACGTTGCCGAATGTTGTTCACACCATGTTCCCAAAAAAACACATCCCGTTCCAACACTCACTTCTTTGCACTTTGAACACTCTCTGAATCCAAGCGTCTCAGCAGCAAAACGATTGATGCCATCTCCATGCCCGGTCGAAAGCGCTTGGTGAGGAAAGAGCAAGTTATGAGGAAGTGAGTGTCAGACCTCTGCAGGGCTCGTGCGATGTATCCGCTTGCAGCAAGTGTGTGCGGCTCGGCCGACACTACTAGCTGTGCGCTCCACCGGACACATCATACATGCCAACCAAACCATCTGACCAAAAGTGTGGAAGCGGTATCAAAGCAGTGCGGTATCTGTGCGAAAACACCTCGCCTACTCCCCTTCGCCTCTCGAAACAACAGCACAGGCCATGGCGGCCAAACCGCCACAAAGGGTGATGAGATGCGATGTGTCTCAAAAATGCGAGTTCCGCCAGTTCCGCCCCCATGCAGCACCTTGCCACACGTTTGGGAAGCTCAATGACCACAGCCCAAATGCAAAGCGCCAAGAAGATCACTGGCATGCTGCTTGCCAAACCTGAGGTGTCAAAGTATCATGGGCCATCATGGGTCGATGAAACAGAACCATCTTTTGTCTTCGAAAGACATGCGAAATAAAAGGCGGACCTCCCATGATGAACATCTCCATGTGTTCGCCGTTGCCATCACCTGAGCTCGCCAGGCGAATGCTGAAGACTTGGTAGACCTTGCTGGTGACTTGGTAGACCAAGCTGCTGAAGAATTCAACTCAAGGTCATCACACAAGATGTGTAAGAGTGCGGGGCATAAGATTGCTTTGAAACTGCGTGTGAATAGCTGGAGCCCTTAAGAGCCGGTTGCCCCGGTGCATGCCCCCATGTCTGGTAGCTGTGCTCGTAGCTATGCAGCTTGGGCGGTGTGTGGGCAGAACTTGGTGAATCACAGGTTATGAGCCCAAATGTGGCCATTGCGCGGCTTTGATGTCCGCTGGGATGCTTCTTGCATGTGTGGTGAAGCTGGGAGATTCAGGGCCTGTTCGACAAAGAAGTTGGAGGGTGAGTCTTTGCCTCAAAAAGCGGGGGATGGTGTGGTCTCAGAAAGCGGGGGGGCCGGTGCACTTCATCAGCGAGAAGTTTGGCATGAAGGTTGGTGAGGCGCCTAACAGTTGGTGCGGTGGCTCAAGCCCAACGGCCTCTGCCAGATTGCACACATTGCACTCTGCATGCTTGAGCTGCAGAGTGGGGGGAGTGCGTGTGAATAGCTGGAGCCCTTAAGAGCCGGTTGCCCCGGTGCGTGCCCCCATGTCTGGTAGCTGTGCTCGTAGCTATGCAGCTTGGGCGGTGTGTGGGCAGAACTTGGTGAATCACAGAAACAAACAATAGTATACGGCCATCGCTGAACAAGTTTGCAAAGCAGGACACACACACACACGTCATCTAGATTCTGGATGATAAATGCAAGAGTGTTTGAATAATCAACAGGCTAGAATCCATGTGTGGTGCCTAAGAAGGCCCCCGTGTCAACATATATAACTCAGAATAATTTTGATACTATTTCTGTACCCTTCCTACATATGTTTAACACATTTTAAAACTATTAAACCGTAACAAAAGTCAGCGTTCGATTGAACAATATTCAGTGGGTGTGTAACCAAAAGTGAATACAACACATAATTTTCATGCAAGCAAGGTGGGTAGACTTCTAGAACATATTCGACATGTCTGCAAGGGGTTTGCACTCCCTGTCCCCAAAATATGTATGCAATAAAACCTATTCCAAAGTTTTCCACTAACTCACATTGACTCACATCACCTGTGGAATTCATGTTTTCGGCACCCAGCATGAGAATCCCGTCTTGCATCTCCAAGTTGCAGAACACCGTCTTGTATCGCTTCATGGTCATCTTTCCATTGGGATGCTGGTTGCATTGGAATGGCGCCAGCAGCATGGACCACAGAACAATGAAAAGGATCAGGAAAATGCTTCCCATGGTCCTGCGCAAGCCCATAACGCAAACTGGTCGACACAGCAAATGTTTTTCGGCCAAACAATTGTCAAAGGGTTTTCTGCGAGAATTGGAAGGGAGCGCGCGGCCCCACATGATTCCAAATGCTTACCAGCCCAAAGAACGCTGAATGGCTAGCCAGCTGTCGCTAGATATTTTGCTGAAGTTTGAGACGCCTGCCACCACCAAAAACCTCCCAGGTTGTCCTCAGCAAGGAGTTGAACTTGAAGGTGGAAGAACGCGAACACAGGAGGTAGCACAAATGCACCACCAGTGCCATGAACCTCGGGCTCAAGCCTATTCCATGTCATGCAAGTCCATCTCATGACCAAAAGGTCTCATTTAGACACTAAGACTAAAAGAACCAACTTGACTACCTGTGTTCCTCTTGAGCATTTCAGATCCCACCAGCGCATGGCGCATGCAAGCGGTCGAGCTTGGCCGGTCGAGCTTGGACGGTTTCCGGTTGAGCGCATGGGCGCATGAATCGGCCCAGTGGCATTAGCAGCGGGATGATGAGAGCTCGAAAGCTGAAAGTGGCGACTGGGCTCAAGCTGGTGACACAGTTGATTGAGAGCATATCAAAGTCAAAGCTCAGAATCTCCAAAAAGATCAAAACGCTGGCGAAAGGCTCTCTCCAATCCTGGGAAGAAGATTGCCACTGGCATGGAGGAAGAATGATACCCAGACTCTCCCCACATAACACAAGCCATTAGTATCCATGAGACATAAACTATTGACGTGAAGCCCCTAAATCTAAACAGTGCAAGACCTACCCTAAAAGTCCATGAAAGTCCAAAATCCCCTAACAAAATCCAAACCAATTCAACGTTTGTTTATGATATGCACATATATATATACATATAGAAGAACAATTCAAGCAAAACATGATTCCAGTTGTTCTGCTCAACCTTGCCGCGTTCTTTTCTGTGCATGTCGGTGGGCGAAAGGATGCGAAAGGTTGGAGGGGGGCATTAGGAACAACATCTCGCTCTTAGGTTGGAGGCCGTTTTGAGGTTCGGACTTTTCCAGATCTTTGGCGCAGCGAATGGCAACCAGGCTGCTTTGGTTTTGAGGGCTGCATTATTTGACTTGGTGTTGCTGGTCTCCCTGCTGGGCTAATTCATAGTTGTTTTCACCATTTGAGATCAACTCTATGTACTGATCACGTATATATATATATATATATATTGCTTATTATAGTTGGAACTGGTTGGACGTCCGCCGTTAAAGTCCTCGGAATCTTGACCTTCCAGCTTTGAACTGTGTTTGCTCATCTTGGACCGAAGAGGAAGGCATCTTCTACCATTTGTCCCAAGGTGTGCTTTCCCACACCACCAAAAAATCATCCCGTAACAATCCCACAACAAGCATCAACACAAGTACACTCAAGTGGTTCCAAGCTGAACAAATCTGACATGAATTGCCTGGCCGCCACCTGCACCGTGGTGTCCATCCCTACAAGACTTCCTCCACGAACGCATGGCATTCCGCCAACCCCAAGAACACCACCTGCACCTCCAACGGTTGCGGCGCACCCGCCGAGGCCGCCAACCCATCGTCCAAGCGTCGATGCCGAAGCGCCGCAGCACCGACAGCATCTGGACGACGGTAATGAACTGCGTCAGGCTGGAGAACACCACCAAGAGCGAAGTCCTCTGGTTCCTGGGGAAGTGTTGGGACCCAGTTCCGAGAACTGGTTTGGTTTGGGCCCCAGAGTTCAAAAACATGACACAAAAAACAGCGCAGTGTCAACTTCTGGTTGGAGAACATGGTCAAGAAACGTTTGGCCCAAGGTGAGAAACGGGACATATTCCACACACTGAGTGTGAAATGGCATCGCCGCACACTGACGATACTAAACACGGGTGTTGCACCAAAGCAATCCTTCCGCGCGCCCTTGTTAGCCTGTGCGCTACAGCGAAAGCCTTGCAAACAGCATCAAGCGGAAAAATGTGTCATGAGATATGATGGCTGGACTTCACAAACAGGGCGAGTTGTTATGTGTTTCTCTTAAACACAGTTTTCCGCCTTCCGCTTAGGTTGGCCTTGTGCAAAAACAGGATGGTGCGGTTCTTTTCTTGATCAGTCACACCTGTTTTGAGTCAATCTCTGGCCCTACCGTTCTTTTCGGGTTCAAGGAAATGAGTGAACGCGCATATATATATATATATATATACACATAATATTTATGTATTAACAAATATATTACTTTTACTGTATCTGAATACGCCAGACGTATTTCCGGAAAGGGCTTTTTTGCAGGGGCTGTCCGCAAGTGATCTTCAGTCACACTTTGGACGAGAGCATGTGGCGTCTCAGCGTTTGGCCTCTCCTCCGCCCGAGTCATGTACAGCAATCAATGATGACTGCTTCCAGTCATGTTAGCTGCCTGGAAGAACCAAGACTTATAAAACGCTGAAAAACATTGAAAAGCGAAGGCTGTGACTAAAGCACACGGCGTCCCCTGCCTCACCTGAGCCTCACCTACCTGTACCCTACCCTACCCTGCCAAACGTTGAACAAAGTGTCGAAGCGGTCTCATTCATCAGCACAATGTGCAACAGCCCAACTCCACCTGTAGGCGGAAGGCGAAACATGTTTCAAAGAAACACCGAAAAACTCGTTTCAGCCTCGACTTTTTATCAAAGCGCATCGGTTTGATTGGCGTCTGATTTCTCTGGTAGATTGTGCATATATAAAGCCTTACAGAAAGCGCTTTCCCATTACATATACTGCCTACACCCCCACTTCACATGCGTTCTTTTCAGTAGACAACGCAGCCCAAAACACCAGACCAGCCTACTTCTACACCCACCCTTGGGTGAACCTCAGATGGATATGTTGCACTTCGTCCCGTTTCGCAGACCATGTTTACTGCACGACGGCCTGACCTTCTACGATCACAATGCACGTTACGATGAAGGTGAAGCCAGGCTCCACCTGGCGGACCTGGCTCCACCTTTTCCTTTTCTCAGAGGCGATGGCTCTGTTTTCCATTGTTTTCCATGTTCTGATTCTTCACAGGCCCGTGAAGATGTGTTTGCTGTGCAGAATGCCCGCAAGATGGCGTGGCAATCTTGCACCTGCTTCATGGCGTGCCAGCGCCCAGAACGCAGCACCGACCAGCGCCAAAGGATGTGAAGGGAGTTGCGTACTCAGAAGCATGATCAAGATCGAAGAGTGCCCGTGCAAATGAGAAGCCACAATCTAGCCACACAAGCCTATCAGGGTTTTTAAGGAGAGGATTGCCAATGCAGAATGCGGAGGGTGGAAGACACAAGGTTGCTCAGAGATCAAGAGCATCAAGCAGCTGCTCAAGGGCCCAAAGAGGAAAAGAAGGAATTGCCAGCAACTTGGTGTTCACATCCCATCTCCGTAGTTCGTATGGCTGGTCCCCTGGTGTGTTGAGAGGTTGTCGGCATCTTGCGCCTAAAAAAAGGAATTGGAAGGCTTGTCAAATGAAAAGGGGTAAAAGCAGGGTCACCACTCCTGCATTAGTTGTTCTATGCTATTTTGTTTGGGATTGTTTGGGTTCTGTTGTGCGTATGGCTGCGCTTGGAGTGGACACAGTCGATTTTATTTGGGATTATCTGGTGGATTGAGGCAGTTCCAGAATATATCCAGCGCAGCAAAGCGGGTGCCAACAGAATCATCCAGGACCTTTCTTGCCAACACTGGAGCTACTATAGCTTCTTGCTCCGTTCGTAGCGATGCCCCTTGATTCCTAGTAGCGTCCCTTGTTCCTAGTAGTAATGCAGGAGCTACATTCGTAGCTCAGTTTTGCTGACCTTGAAAGTGCGATCGGCAACAAGTCGTCGAATCATGTGCGCCGCATCCGCGGGACTTGAAGGAGCCATGTCGCGAAATGGTCCCCCCGATTTGCCACCTGTCGAAGTGAGGAGCTGAAGAAGCGGGTCTCAGAGTTCCTGTCGAACTTTGTTCTGTATTTCTTGAGCACACGGGACTACGACAGGACGTCCGACACGAAGGGTTCACAGACTCCAACAGTCACCGCAGTCACGCGCTCCTCCAGCTCACACATCATTGCGCCAGTTTCTTGCAGAAATTCGTCCAAGGATGTGTACAGCCACTGTGAGTGTGGGAGGCGTAAATGACATGAGCTGTTTTATGTGACCTGTAAGTGAAGACAATACGGACAATGCGAAGAACGAGTGGAGAAAAAGAACATGCTAGACGCATGCACAAGCCAATCCAAGGAAAGAGCAAGGAGAACATCTAGGTCTGACCCCCCAAGTGCGAAACGATGTCCTGGAACTCGCCCCAGCAAAAATATCCAACGCCAAAGAAGACAGAATGAAAAGGAGCTCCAGCCACCCATGGGAAATAGAACATAAGAGTATATTGTATTTATAATGTAGTAATTGAATCTATGTTCAAACCATGTCCTCTAGCTCCCCCCCATCTACTGGTGAACATGGAGCGGGGATCTTCTACCCAACCGACTCGAACATCTCGAACACCCAATGAACCGCTAGCAGCGGTGTACCATCTCCGAATCAGTTGACCAACACATCTGGAAGGCCATGAAGGCACAGGTTCAGCCAACTGGTACCTGGTTGTATTGGTTTGGATGGTGCAGCTCTGGCCATGAAGATTCATGTGGCTCTTCATGAATGTTGCTCCGGCCACCATCGTTTATTGGTATTAGTATGTATTAGTCCATTGTATCTGGCCTACAAACATTCGTGTACGTGTGCCTCACACCGTCCCCAACCGGACCCGCATACATGCGAATCGAATTCTCTCAGTAGTTGTGGAGGTTTGTTGAACATAATAAGTTGGCAAAACGAATCGAATGCCACATGTGCAGTTTGGGAACTGACCGGACCTTCTTGAACTTGAGGCCAAAGTGTGGTAAACTGGGTAAATTAAACCCCCGGATTCTCATGGCTGAACCGTCGCGATTAAAACATTGGCTTCCTGAGGGCAGCTGGAGTCACAAACTATCACAAACTGCAACCCTTAAGATATCTGAATGAAGTGAGGGAGACTGTGTCTGGTGAGGATGACACCTCACTGTAGGTGACAGAGCACGAATGTTGGAAGAAGTAAAGCAAATTCGTTGAGTTGAACCAAGTCTGCTGGGTAAAGCAATAAGTTGGCGTCCACCTCGTCACTGGCAAGACAAGTCGGAGCAAACCCCTACGGTGAGTTGGAACGTTCAGAGTCCAGAGGAAGTGGGCTGAGACGGATGTCGATGAGTCCCCTGACCTTTCATGATGTGTTTTCGGCTTGCTGCTTGCGCCAGAAATTGGCACGCAGTACCTGGTATTAAAATGATTGATGAAACCAATTTGGATTGCAAAAACCCGGCATATGGGGTCCTCAATAAATGCCAGTCATTGTGGCTTGGTTTTCGTGGCTTCTGTGGCGCGTGTGTCGTTTCCAACCACCAACCCCCGTCCCATGCCACAAAAGCTGCACATAGTATTATTCAAACGTCCTGCCCTGCCATGAAATTCGATGCTTCGAACTTTTCCCCGCCATAACTATGGGCCATTTGGGAACAAGTCTTATTAAGCGAGGAACCTTAATCAAACGGCCTCTGTGAGCTATCTTGAAGTTCCTGTTGCGCAGCTTGGCTGCCACCAGAAACCGGGCACAGCACCAGGCAATCCTCTACAGCCCATCGCTTTTAGGTTGGAGCCCATCGCTATTAGGTTTGGAGGCCATCCATATTAGGTTGGTCATCGCTTCTAGGTTGGAGGCCATCGCTCTTAGATCTTAGATTGGTGGCCATTGCTATTAGGTTGGAGTCCTGGACTTCGCAGCTTATAACATCTTATAACTATAGTTATGCTTTTGATTGTTTTGATACAGCGACCCTTTGGCGCAGAAACTTCCCAGGCACCTACAAGAGTGCAGATCACCAGGAAGAAGAATGCGTAGTCGCCCTCCCGACAAGGGTCACAGGTCTTCTCTGCCCCCCTTTCCTGAAATCCATCCTCCAGGGGAGCTGACTGATGACTGGCGGCCTTGCTGGCACTGACTGCTGCGGACAACCCTTGCTACTAGTAGCTTCTTGCTACTAGTAGTAATGGCCTCCAACCTACTAGCAATGGCCTCCAAGCTAATTGCTTCTTATTGTGCATCCCTTGATGTGGTTCACACTTTGAAAACATCCGTCGATCACGGGGGTTTGGATTGGGATCGGATTGTTCTCCCGTCCTGACAACGTGCGCAGGCCACGCTTGAAGCATCACGTCCCTGAGCACATGTTCCAGGAGGCCCACCTGAAGGCGGGCGCAGTGGGGAGATGTAGCTTGGGAGATGAACCCATGAGAAAACAGGGTAGGAATCCACTCTTCGAAACCACATGAATATACATGAACATAAAGAAGAAGAGATGCATCTGTGATCATCTGTTGGTTTGGAATCACTCTTGGTGTGACTGTATCAATCATCCCCCAACTCCCGACCAGGGCTTTGCTCCAACATGTTCCACCCAATTTTGTGTGTGTGCATGTATATTGGATATTGTTGGATTGTGTGGATTGTCCATGTCCGCGCAACTGATTTTACTCCCACCCACCAAAAAGCAGGCCCAAAGCACGTTCCAATATAACTTATATGGGTTTGTATTTCTTTAAAGTTCCCGGGCCGGGATGTTTGACTATGGGGTATGCTTCGGAGGTATGCTTCGGGGGTATGCTTCGGGGTATGCTTCGCGCAGTGTGAAGACTAAAGTAGTAGCATTTCCAGAGGGTATGCTTCAGGGTATGCTTCGGGGGTATGCTTCGCCTAAGTCGAACATCCCAGCCCTACATAAACTGGACACCTTAAAACAAGACAAGCCCATATAGTTATTATTTAATTGACACCTGCGAAAGAACGTCAAGCATCATATAAGTAGCGCTAGTTGGATTTCGCCGTACCGGGATATGCAAGTCGATCTAGATTTAAAATATGGGCAACAGCTACCGCGCTACAGCTTCTACAATGATTTAGGCTAAAACTGGTTCAAAGGTTCGAAAAAGCCCTCTTCGTCTCTGACATCGTATGCATCGCAAAGCATATTTGATCGGCCTGGGCAAACACGCTCGTCAAAGCAGTTGTAGATCTCCCCCGGCGCCTCTGGCGAAGAAAAGTAGCCCGGCAGCCTCAAAGAGCATGGCATGGATGCTTCTACTGGAGAAATGAACCCACAAAATTGAAAAAAATATAACGAATCCACAAAAGGGAGGCAAGGGTCCCCTACATATTGATAGGGCCCTCAAAAAAAGGAATCGACTCTACGGCTCGATGTTGAAGTCTTTTTCCCAAACTCTTGGATGCTGAACCTTCAGCGCCTCGGTCCGAAACCAACATCTCGAACCTTCAGCGCTTGACTCGCAATGGTCGCGCCAACACGTCTTCGTTTGTGACGCAACCGGTGGTGCCAAAACGGAAGCAACAAGAATGAGAGCTCCAAGTCGCCGATATGCCGATCTATTCAGCTCGGGGTTTCCGTAATTGGGATGCCCATTAAAAAGGAAAGGCACTCGTCATGGCCTTTGCCGTTTGTTGCGCCAAATTACACTTTTGAATCAACCGCCACTTTCGAGTGAACATGTCAGGGTCATGCTCACCGTGAGCCTTGCCATCGCAGCCTTGTTGTATCTTAGTTGTTGTCACACCTCACTCGGTCAACATATTCCGTCCTGGAGTGCTAAAGGAAGCGGGGAGGCAAACACCTTTCCAGCGACAGTTCTCGCAGAAAATGTTGTCTGCTACTAATGAAAAAAAAGCGATAACAAGGGAATAGTCTCCATGTTTGCTGTCAAATTTGTGTGGCTAGCACCTTCGTGCGTTCACACGAGGCTGCCATTTTGGCGTGCATTTGACAGGTGTGTCAGTCAGGTCTGCAACATCAATCGAATTCTCTCCAGGTCTCAGCTACGAAAGCTGATTGCACATAGCCGGCATACAACAGAATGACCGGAGAGCCGAAGGGATCAGCTTTTGGCCGCCTTTATCGCCGCTTCCTGCGTTGTTAACTGAGAGTAAAACACTAAGCCGTTGAGCGCAAGTCGCGCGGTGGCGAGTTACTGTAGGGATGGAGCTCAGGTGCGAGCGTTGCTCCAAACATGTCCCACAATGTTCACCAGCTCACGGTTCTGCGAGCGCGCAGGCGCACGCACGCAGCCCCGTGCCCTCACTTCATCTCAAAACGGTTGATTCCAAGGTGCAGCTCCAAACGATTGGACCCAGGGCAGCTGGAGCCCTCCATGCACACCTGGCTTGTGTAGAAGAAAGAAGGACATCTCGTCACAGGATTCACAGATCTTTGATGATGCATGTTGATTCATCATGATTTGTGTTTAATGGATGTCCTTTTCCAAGCTGTTGATGGCAAAACAGTTTATGCGTGATGCATTTTTTCGTTACTGTTGCTTGGATTGCTCGGGTTACCACGGGGTCGTTGCAGGTGGCAGTTGCATCGAATGCAACAAACCCAATGAAGTGAAGCCTTCCGTCGCCCGAACTCCTCAGCCGTTATCCCCCGAAATCCTGAGCCGTTTTGGTGACCCGAACAAATTTCACCTGTTCTATCGTGTTCTTGTTGGGGTGTCACCCCTCCGCAAAAACGATCAAAAAGGTTTTGCAGCTGGCAGGTGGTACCACTATTCCCGGCTGGTTGCCCCACCATTTCAGCCAAAATCGACCTCCCCAAAAAGGCACAAATTTGTAAATATGTCCCGAGATCTGCAAAGCACCTCACCTCGACCTACCCAGGCTCGAGGGGCAGGGCGCGCCTGGCAGCGGCCGTCCCACAAGAAGGTGCCAGCCCCACAAGTGCAGAAGGATTGCGACACGGCCCCAAGCAGCTGAATCACCACGACTTCTCCCCCTGAGTTGATCTCCCGGCTTGTGGTCCACAAGTGCTCCTCTCCGCTGCCCATGCCGCACCTTAGGCAGCACCCAGCAGTACCAATCGCCCTTTGCCCTTTGCAATGAAGAGCGGGGTTTGGTCATGTTCGGTCCAGTTATAAGGCATTCCCATGTTACAACATGTGTTTGGTGTGTGTGTGTGTGTGGCTAGTTGGTGCTGAACATCGCAGTTGAGATGCCGGTGGCACAGACTCATCCCGGTGGCGTTGGCGTACTCTCCGAGGCCGCACTGTTCACACTCAGCGGAGCCTTCTGATGGGGCAATGTGGCCAAGGTCACAAGGATTACCTTAGCTTGAAGAGTGAATAAGCCTGAAACTCCATCAATTACAAACTTCAAAAGCAGAGTGATGGACGATTCTGTAGCATTCTCTTGTCCCAACAAACTCAAAACACACACTTCATTGCAAAGATCAGTTGCACTCAGAAGTTCCGAAGGTGCGTTGATACGTGCCGGGTTCGCATTTCGAACACACGCGTGTTTCACTGATCTCCGTCGAGGCATACCCTGAAGGGCAAATGGCACAGTCCACAGCATCAGCTCGCGCGGTGACAAATTCTCCTTGCAAGTCGACGAGGCCCCTGCCGACCGAGCAAACTGTCTTGTCTGGCACCCATTCCTGCCAAATAATCCTGTTTGCCCTGAGCCAAGTGCAAGCCGTCTGCCACGGCTCGTCGTCAGGCGTGGCTGACTGTACCATGGTCAGCAGCAACTCGTTCATGATGCCTTGGTGAGCAAAGCACGTCTCATTGCTGCATTTCGGATGGAATCTTCCGCTGTTGCTCAGAACAAGGTGAAGAGTGAGGAGTTGTGTCAAATGATGACACATGTAAGCCCTTCCAACAGGAGCTGCAGTTGATGTCGTGTCAGCTATTGTATGCGCTCGTCTTCAGCTACTCTTGCATAATAAGTAGTGATATTGTGCTACTATATATATATATAGTAAGGTCTATGAAGGGTTTCAAATGGTCCGACTCACTGTGCATCTGAGATAGTTCATTGCTGGACCTGCGCAGTTCGTAAAGCAAAGATGCTGTCAGAAATGTGAAGATTTTGTGCCAAGCCGTATGCTCGATCTGCGACAGCATCAAGCCCTCTTGCGACGGCCATGTGGAGCTCTACGCGGTCCTCAGGCCATGCGTGCCGCATCCAATGACATCTGCATCTGACTGTTTTCTGCATTTCAGGGAGACTCCGTCAGGCCTGGACAACTTGACCAGCGAGGCCTGCCAAAAAACAAATTCCTTCGAAGGCTAGTAGAACAATCGGTTTACCGATCCTCCATGATGATCTCACCCTTTTACCTTCACAACAAATTCTCTCTTGCAGGTGAGTCTCAATCTGAGATTTGTAGATTCCCTGTTTGTGTTCGAACAAGCTCCATGGAGGCATCTCAACAAGTGCTGGACTATATGCCACGAACGACGAATCGGGGCTCCACCAGTACAAAAAGCCTTGAAGCTTTTTATTTTCCTCTCTCCATTTCGCGTTGTCTGTTGCCACTGCAAAAGCCATGGGCATGTTGTGGGAGGAAATTTGCTGCGTCAATTCTGCGAGGCCCCAGCCGGTGCCTCCAGTAATGAGTGACATGCAGTTCCACGGGCTTGCTCGGCAAGCGGGAGGTAGCCACCATTTGTTCTCCCAGCACTTGTATTTGGTCCTTGGCAGGCGCCCGTAGAAGAACCCAAGGCTCGGCGGTTTGGAGGCTCCAAATCGGGTCTCAAAGATGAACACCATCCAACATAATGGTGAACTTGGAGGCAATATAGTGGATTGAGAGTAGATGGCACAATCCCCAAGTTCAGTGGGTTATATGGACCCCTATATAAAAGACATCTTGGGGTGCCAGTGCCATCTACTCTCAATCCACTGTAATTCGACTTAATTCAACACTCACCAAACATACCAAACTGACTTGCTCCCACTCACCGCCACTCAATTTATCGACAAGTTGGTGAGCGAATTTGTGAGTTCCACAATCAAACAGAAACTCCCTCCGAACCACATCTTCACTCGCAACCTCTTTCTCCTTGGTCCTTACCTAGCGTTGACTTGTGACTGAGGCAAGTGGCTTGCCGTCTTCCTGCACGACACCATCAGCATCACCTGTTGCTTCCAAGTATTGCTGCGCACCGAGGGGATCATTAGTCCATCCATCCTCAGAGTGCCGGTCACCAAAGTTCTCGTACCGACCCGCATACATCTAAAGCCATGTATGCAAGAGAACACGGCTAGACGAAATCTCGTCTACATATATCTACATTGATGGACAATTTGGTGTGTTGAAACGTTGTCAGGCCATGCTGTCAAACTATGTCAAGCTCAACCATATATCCAAACATGGTAGTCAGGCAACAAATGATCGTTGAATTGGAGAACTGACGACGAGTGCGGTGCTAGGACGCCAGGCTTTACACTTGGATCAAACAGAAGAAAATGAAGAAAACGGTTGGTTTACCTTCCACCAGCAGCGTTCCATGCCAGCGGGTGAGTTTCCGTGGGATGGTGCATGGCATGTCATGGCCATTCTCAGCGTCAGGGTCAGGTACACAAACGACTCTGGCCACTAGACGAACTAAACAGAAAGCTGAGCAAGGAACCCTTGCAGTCCACCACTGTTTTGGGCGCAAACATGGTGTAATTACATAATTCGCGGCACGATTTTGGTGTTTCAAGTGTAAACACATAATAGCAACACCCAAATGCTCTAGGGCACGCATGTTCGAAGGTTAGTGAAGTTCACTTCTGTCAGGTTGGCGGCATAGTTCTCCGGATGGAACCATGATGCATTGAGGTTGCCTGGGCTGCAAGCAGTGCAGGCGACTAAAAACAATTCACGTTCAAAAGCTGTTGATCACCTTCCCTCAACAACAAGGAAAGGGAAGAAAGTTGCGCATGAAACAAATATGTTAATTGCGCTTTCAAACTATGTGCTGAACACCAGAAATGCACACCTCTCACACTCGTTAGGATGGACAAATCATGAGAACTCTGGCAGGGCAAAAATGCTGACATGAACTTAAATTGTCATGCCAGGTTGCCATAATAAGACAAATGAAGACCAGCATCATCTAGGGCCCTTTGACGTGCTTTGCCGAGAACGTACATGCCTTCTACGCCCCAGTAGCCCATGCTTCCTGACAGAGTTCAGGCACGAAAAACGTCTGATGCACTCGGAAAGGGCCCAAATAGGTGGCACCGAAGATGTTACATTGGAAGTTGCATTGGACATCAGTGGGCATCTATGATTTATACACGATCTTGATAGATATATATAGTGATTGTCATTTATGCACTATTAGTATCTATTAGTTACATACATTGTAGACAATGGATTAGGGAGCATGATGAGCATGAATCAGCGCGCCGTATGGCAGCATCACAGAGTCACGGCTATAAATCAAAAAATAAAACGTCGGTCAACACGTCCGCCACAACTGTCTGGTATCTGTGTAGCAAAACAGGCGTCCAACAATTGTGTGCAACCCATCTTCGCTCCTCTTCTGTCACTGATATCTATCTATCATGGTTTCAGAGCTGGCTTGCCAAACTAGTCATTAAGCAAAAAGCGGGCACAGCCCAAACTACGCGAATTTGTTGTCATTGTTTGTACGCAGGCGCAGCGTCAAAAATACACCAAGGCTCAGGCAACAACGATGGACAAAACATAAATAAGTTAAGATTGCAGTATGTTTAACGTTCTTCTTTGTAATAGCACGTGTAAGCACACACTTGCAATGGTATACACGCACATATATATATAAAGATAAATGATCCCAAATGCATTCGCACAGAAAAGGAAGCACACGGCGCAAGTGTAGGAAATGCAACGGCACTCTGCGCCCAGGACCGATGATGCTTTTATGATGCAAGTGAACGTTAGCCAGTGCGCCAAAAAAGCACCAAAAGCCTTCGGATTGCGAGTCGATCTGCCCTTCGTGCCGAATTTCAATAAGTGTGTGTGTGTGTGTCTTTAGTCAACGACATTTATATAGATCGATTTACTGTACTTGATTTGTCTGTTCGGAATTCAAGCTGGACCTCCCTCAATACGCACATACGAAAAATGTGGAAAAAAACCTTCTGTCCATAGAAATGAACTGATGAGGAGCCATTGGGTTGATACCATCGCGTGAATTGAACAAATAATGATTGTGGAACTCAGCAAAGTTAAATACACAATGCACAACATGTAGTCTGATGCAATGTAGGACGACCATGGAAAGAAGAGGTTCAAAACACCTGAGAAAGCATGCGAAAACTCAGGCAACTCCCTATGGCACAAGCTGTATTGCAACATTTAAGTCAAGCTAATCTCACCAAGCATCCCAGGATCTCAGGATTGCGTTCTCCCAACAGCTTCAGTTTTTGTAGCATGGCTGCCGACTGAAGGCTACTTCCCCAAAGTTCCATTCCCACGTGGGCGATTGGTGGAAAGCTGCAATTTTCAATCTCCGCCTCCTATTGGAGCTGCAAACGTTAGCAAACAGAACGCAAACAATGTAAACAAAATAATCCAGAAAAAATAAACCTTGTATACCCCTTTTCTATGTCTTTAAGTGGGTTCAAAAAGGAGATCAACAAGAACCTTGAGCCTCACCATTGGTTCACATGTTCACATGTAATATTGGTGATTTGACGTGCTTTTAACGAGTCAAGTCACACTGTCTTTGCATCCAGCCAGAAGACGGAGAGTAGAAACTGTTGAAGGTGTAGGTTGAATCTCAGCATTGTAACCAAGGATCTCTTCAACCAAAATGGCATAGACATCCCTGGCAGCCTGAGAGCCATCGGATCGCCAAACGCAGCCGGCTTTCACCGTTATGCAGAAAGTAACGCCTTCAAGGGCCTTCAAAAAGAAAACACAAGGTTAACCACGGCATGGGCATGTCTGTGAGTCCCTGTCGGACGGCCAAACAAAGACCAAAAAACCTAAACCAAAGAAATTGTCCCACACAATATGATTGCTATTGAAAGGGTTGGTGGGACTCCTTATCACCTACTTGAAGCTTCCGATCTTTGCATATGGCTGAGGCTGAGGGGCGAGTGCCGAATCCCAATTTCCTCAGATCGAGTGCCGCGAAGGGGTCGCGCCGCTGAGAACCCGTACCGCACGCCGCAGAGTACCGCACATCCCGGAAAAGGACCCCCTGAAATCCACCACTCCCGTCCCCAAACTCGATAAGTGGACGGCATGTTTACTTACATTGGGGTGATTTCAGGGGTCAATGCAGGTTAGTCTTTATTGATATTGGCGACCTCCAAGAGATCAACGTCCCCCGCAACATGAAATCCCAGCTGTCTTGTGAGTTGCAACCCTGCTAGTACTAAAAAGGTTCCAACCATTCACCCCCAGTTCATCCCAATTCTATCCAATCCAATCCAAATTATCTGCTTGGGCCCGGCTTTCGAACGCCAACTCGAAAAATTCTGGCTTAGGAAAGGTTGCTCTCACAGTTCCAAGGTTCCCACCCTGAATTCAATGAACCTTCTATAAAGAACTACTTAACGGTTTCTGACTCGCTCAGATTCCTTCAATAAAGGTAACCTTCTTCCACCTGTTCGATCGATCTGGCTGCCTGCGACTTGGTTGGAACTCAGTCGAAATTGTGACGTTCTTGAAGTTTCGATCACCGTCCATTCTCGCTGCGAGAGATATTGAAATTTTGATCACCATCGGTTGCCGAGTGTTTTATTGGTGGGGGTATTGGGGTGGGGGTAGCGATCTACAAATGTGTTTTGAATATTTTTGAATCACGTCAGTGCTTTGAATGATGTCCGTGTCGTGCCTTCGAAGCCATTTGGCCTGACATGAGCAATGAGGGACTTTACATTGGGTGGTTTGGTTTCCTTATCAGCCTTATCCGAGCCTTATCCCTGTCTTGCTGCGACCCGACTCTGCAGGAACAATAATTTGCTATATGTTCGTTTTGGTCATTTGGAAGCGTTTTTCTTAACCATCGATATCCAATGCATTGATCCTCACTACTTGGACTTTTGTTGAATCTGAAAGCGGCTGTGCGGATCTGTGCGGTGCTTAGGAGACTGGTTTCTTGAAACAGTATGTGCTGAACAGTGTGACCAAAACAAACCACCATCTGAACTGGCACAAGTTCCGAGTGTATGTGCAGTCCCTGCAACTAATATGGAACTAGAAAACCACCTGTAGAGGAAAATTGTGCAAGGATTTGCAAGGGACTATTTTCCGCTTCCATGTTGGTTCGAGGGAGTGAAAAACTGGCAGTTTCGGAACCTTGTTTCCGATGACGACCGAACTGGGCAGCTGTCGGGAAGAACTCGGAAGCAATGGCCTCCAACCTAATAACGATGGCCTCCAACCTAGAAGCAATGGCCTCCAACCTAATAG